GTCTCTTTGACATAGTCCCCATTTCCATTCTCAATTTTATTGATTAAAGGGATGAGAACAAATGTTTACTACCATTTGACCTAGAAGTGCCATTTTCATCCAAGTTGGAAGACCACTTTTTTGGCAATTAATGAGCTATATTTTTAAATTAATCATACCAAAAATAAATTTATCTATGAATTAAGAAAGATTTATATTTTAGCTTTGAAATGAATTAAAGATTTTAAAAATCCATAGAGTAGTTTTGGAAAAATCAATCTTTAAAGACTGTTGGTTGGAGTCAGAAAATTCTGACTGTAGTGCTACCTTAAACGTTTTAACAGGCGCCAACCTTCACCCTAACCTGAAATAATAGTGTAACATCACAACATAGAAAGACACACTATAAAATATCAATTGAAATGGCTTAAATCAATCAAAAGACATATTAACAAAAACAAGTATATTTGACACAATATAGATACAAAATTATCAAAAAAGAGGGGGGGGGGGGGGGGGGGGGGGGGGGGGTGAGATGTAAAACAATATTAGAAAGACAACTATAACCTTGGACAAAATGCCGTTTAATAAAATAACGTACATAGGTAAATAAAAATAATTTTGTTGTAAGGAGTACATTGAGTACGGAAATATTTTTTACAAAATAAATAAATTTGTTGTTCAGAACAGAAGTGAAAACTTATCGTCATACTAAATACTTATCAAAGGTGATATATATTAAAAATAGTGAGACGAGATATAACACAAAATAAGTGATCATTAAATAACAAAAATGCAATTGTATCAACAGGTCAAATTAACACGAAAGTACGATTTGAGAGTACTCGCAGTTACTGAAAGCTAGTTAAAAGCCAAAAACATTTAATTATAAAAAAATCATGCATCAGAGACTAAAATTAACTAAAACACATCCCAGGGATTTAGTGTTTTAATGTCATGGACAGTCAAAGAAGACGTTACTTGTGCAATGCCAAAATAAAAGTATCGACAGGCAATAGAATAGTTAGGATTTAACCTTTTAATAAATATGTGTAATGTTGAAGAGCATTGAAAACCAAATATTCCGAAAGTTTGTGTCAAATACGTTTAAGGTTACCTATGCCTAAAAAAAACATGAGCACATTTTAAGCCTGGTATGGTCACTATCTTTGATTACTTCATACCTTCCTCCTTTGGAAAGGATGTATAATGTAGCAGGTCAGACTGCGTGTTGTTAGTTATTGTTTATACGTCTGTTTTCTTACGGAGGAGTCGATGTTGGTAGTTCGGTCTTTTGACTGTTTGTAATGTTTGGAAATTCTGGTTTTATGTTAAATTATGTGTTATTCTGGAAATATTTATAAGGAATGTAGCAAAACATTTAAATAAATCACACATTTTATTGTTTGAACGCTTGAAAACTTAGTTCATGGAATGGAATAATATAAAGAATGCAAACCGATGTCCAGAGAACATACCACTATGCTGGTGATTCCATTGGTAACAAAACGTCCACAGTAGTGGTCGTAAAAACATCAAAGATATCAGACTAACAATTCAATACGTGAGACGTAAGTTTTGACTACATAAGACTCGTCAGTCGCGCCCATATTAAACAGAGGGGGAGAATCAAATTAATTACGAAAAGCACTGAAAACCAAAATCACCTTTTGGTTGGCCATTATAGAACATCTGTTTGACAGATGACGACGAATATCTTCCAATTCTTATTCCTCGAGTGTGACCTACCAAGTTAATTTGTAATTACATGAGTAACAAGACGGACGCCACATATGGAGCAGAATCTGCTGGCCCTTCTAGAGCACCGAGGACGCCACATGTGGAGCAGGATCTGTTTACCATTCTAGAGCACCTAAGACCATCTCCTTTTTAGCTCACCTTTCCAAAGGAAAGGTGAACTTTTGCCATCACTTGGCGTCCGTCGTTGTCGTCGTCGTCCGTCCTGTGTAAACTATTTCAAACATCTTCTCCTCTGAAACTACTGCACCAATTCAAACCAAACTTAAGCTGAATGATCCTTAGGGTATCTAGAATAAAGTTTGTGTTTTATTTTATGTTTCGTCAAAAAACATGGCCGCCATAGCTAAATATAGAACATAGGGGTAAAATGCAGTTTTTGGTTTATATCTCAAAAAATAAAGCATTTAGAGCATATCTGACAGGGGTAAATATGTTCATTAGGTCAAGTTCTATCAGCCCTGAAATTTTCAGATGAATCTAACAACCCATTGTTGGGTTGCTGCCACTTAATTGGTAATTTTAAGGAAATTTTGCAGTTTTTGGTTATTATCTTGAATATTATTATAGATAAAGATAAACTGTAAACAGCAAACATGTTCAGCAAAGTAAGATCTACAAATAAGTTAATATGGCCAAAATTGTAAATTTACCCTTTAAGGAGTTATTGCCCTTTAAGGACCATTTTACACAATTTGTTCATCATGTTTTCTAACTTTTAAAAAATCTTCTCCTCTAAAACTACTGAACCAAATTAAACCAAACTTAAGCTAAACGATTTTTAGATTATCTAGAATAAAGTTTGTGTTTTATTTTCTGTTTCCCCAGAAAACATGGCCGCCATGGCTAAAAATAGAATATGGGGTAAATTGCAGTTTTTAACTTATATCTCAATAAACTGCTTTGCCAAGCGCAGCTGGATACGACCGCAGAGGTCCAACCCTGAACAGTTGGGGCAAAAATTGACACAATATTCAAGCTTGATACAGGTCTGAATTTGGATTGTAATTAAATATTTGACACATTATAGGTTTCTGACACAGAATAAATGTAGTCAAAGAACTTAAAATTGGTTATATGATTTGAATTAATATTCAATTGAAGATTTCTTGCTTTTGTACAATACACTGTGCTGTTGCGTAATACTTAGTAAATCTGTTTTCAGACTATATACAATGAATCGTGACCCCCAATTTTTCTTTGGAAAATTGACAATTTCTTAAATCTTGAAGAAAAAAAATTGACACCCCCCAATAAATTTTTTTTAACCCCCACCCCCATTTTCCAAAAATAAATATTTGAAGAAATTTTCTTGTTAATTTCTTAAAAATTGAAAATAAAAAATCATCCCCCCCCCAAATTTTTTTTTTTACACCCCTCAATTTTTTTTAACCCTCCTCCCCCCCCCCCCCCCCCCTTTTTCCCCCAAAAAATAACATTTGAAGAAAATTTTCTTTTTGTAAAATGTGGTACATTTTAAGAGACATCAATACACCTAAACACAAGTTATTGTCTGAAAACTAGAAAAATGCTTGTTTAAGACCCTTTTTGGCCCCATAATTCCTGAACGGTTTGGACAATTACCCCCAAAATAAATCCCAACCTTCGACTTGTGGTATTGAACCTTGTGGTACAATTTCAGGGCAATCAATATACTTATAAACAAGTTATTGTCCTGAAACTAGAAAAATGCTTGTTTTGGGCCCCTAATTCCTAAACGGTTGGGACCATCACCCCCAAAAACAATCCCAACCTTTCAACGACGATGTCATGATAGCAATACACGACCCCAAAATGTTTTGGCGGTCGTATAAAATCTAAAGCATTTAGAGCAAATCAGACAAGAAGTTAAAGTATTCATTAGGTCAAGGTCTACCTGCACTGAAATTATCAGCCAAATGGGGTATCTGATTTTAAGGTTATTGCCCCTGAATTGATGATTTTAAGGAAATTTTGCAGTTTTAGGTTATTATCTTGAATATTTTTATAGATAAAGATAAACTGTAAACAGCAAAAATGCTCAGCAAAGTAAGGTCTACAAATAAGTTTTGAATGACCAAAATTGTCAATGGACCCCTTAAGGAGTTATTGCCCTTTAAAGACAATTTTTCACAATTTGTTCATCTAGTTTGCTTATTTAAAAAAATATTCTCCTTTGAAACTGCTGAATCAATTTTAACAAAACTTGGGCTGAATGAGTTTCAGAGTATCTAGTATAAATTTTGTATTTTATTTCCTTGTACGTCTAGAAAGATAGCCACTATGGCTAAAATAGAACATAGGGGTAAAATGCATTTTTTTGCTTTTGAAGAAAATATGACAGATACAAAGAACATTTAAATGGCATTTTTAAGCCACTCATTAATATATATTGAAAAGCAAAAATAATCATTGAAATATTTAACCAAAAAATTACAGGTGAGCGATTCAGGCTCTTGAGAGCCTCTTGTTTTAGTTATTATCTACATTACACAAACTTTACACTGTATGACAAACTTTTATTGTGGCTGTTATGTTAAAATCATGAGGATATACCATAGCAATATAATTTAAAGGCAAAAATAAAATAATGGTAGTCTAAATCATAGTTGACTGTCACATTTCTAAATAGTTCATTGGATGTATCCAGCTGTTAACCATAAGTGATATCTGAGATCAAAGGATTTCTCTTTACCTATTATTTAATCAAACATATATTGTTAGTCTTGTATGTTTTTTTTTTGTTTTTTTTTTTTAATTTTAGTTCATTTATATGTTTTGGAGTTTAGTGTGACTTCCATTTTCACTGAACTAGTACACAATTTTATTTAGGGACCAGCTGAGGACCACCTCTGGGTGCGGGATTTTCTCGCTGCGTTGAAGACCCATTGGTGGCCAACGGCTGTTGTCTGTTCTTTGGTTGGGTTGTTGTCTCTTTGACATATTCCCCCATTTCCATTCTCAATTGTATTGCTATGGTTTTAGAAGAGACAGGTTTTCAATATGAGAAATGACAGATGGAAATGATAACAGCTCACATTGCCCCTTTTATGCCATCATATCAGACCTTACTGATAATCATTTTAAGCATAGTATCTTTGATGAGGGTTTTTATTTTAACGATGAGAATTCGTTTTGATAAAGGATGTCATCTCTGTGTATATATCCTGCATGATTCACATATAATTGTGAAATAAAAATGTAAAAAATTCTAAGATTGAAGGATGGCAATTGTATGCTAATAGATCACCAAATTTCTAGCACCTTTATTTACAACTAACAAATTTTTATAGAAAAATATTTATTGAATAAAAGTATAATGCTTTAGTTATTTGCAATTTTTACAACTGACAATGCATGGAGTTACATCAGAAGTTCATTACTGGGAGAAGTGTTCAAGCTCTCCTTATGATATGAAGATCGCACTGTTAAAAGTTTCAACAGTTTTAAAAGGTAGAGCTTAAGTTGTATTTCAGAATAATCTCTGTATTGCTATAACAATTTTATATATGAAATCAAGGATAAAAACTAAAATCATTCAATTTTAGACAAATAATTGTAAAATTTTCCAACAAGTTATATCAAAGATATCCTACAGATAACAACTACTACTGGTGTGTTTAACGAGCTTGACTTCCCTTGAGGGTCTCGCACGGTTTGTATAGTTCAAATGAACACTGCACTGTGATCTCCTTCCTGACATATAATGTTGCATACTTGTCCCAGTAATGGACTTCTGGTCATATGTGGAGGTAAGTGGTTATACAGTATAAAAATTGATCTATTGATGATTGTGTAAACTATAATATGCATATTTGAATGTATTTGCTTTAAGCTTGAATATTGTGCTCCAAGTGATGTATTGTATATTTGGTTCATAAAGCCTTTTGACAGCAATATCATAGAACTGATGAACAGTATTATTGAAACATATGAAAATCTAATGAGAAAAAGTCATGTTTGCTGCAAGCATATCACTAAAAAGGAATCCATGCTTTATAGAAAAGATATAAAACAGTCAAAACAATTAAGTAGTGGAAACAAAGCTGTGTTGACCTGAAAATTTGTAAATAAATGGACAATAAACAAAAAAAGACAAAAAAAACAACAACACATGTATAAGAGAGCACTGAACAACACACATAGATGTCTTAGGGGTTTGTTTCTTTCTTGGGTTGATTCCTAACTGATAGATACACCACATCAATCCATATGATGTATGAGAAAAAAAAACAAAATCAAGTTTTGTGTTAAATTTGATTAAGATTCAGCATGTACTTATTTTACTTCAAAAGCATAATTAAGAATGTCTTAGGTTTACTTTGGGACTGAACATATTTATTTAACATTATAATGTACAATGTATATTATACTATTTTAATAGTTTAATATTATCTTCCATACACAAATAAAACACTATATGAAAGACAGTTAACTTAAACCATACCATTACAGTGGTAAAGAAATACCACTCAATGTAAATTTATGATTTGATCATCATGAAAATATTTCATATGGCAGTGGTATAACTTATGGGTACAATGCCATTATATTGTTATCGTTATATCATAAAGATATTCCATGGCAGTATAGCTTAAGGGTAAAATGCCATTATATTGTTATGGTATTATCAAGTTTCTTAAACACCCCAACTGACCAAATATCCCTTTGAGCTTTCCTGAAAGAAAAACTATGGACAACCTATAAGAATACATAAGGAGCTTATACAAATCTATTTTGGTACAAAAATATTTTTTAAAAGAATGGATAACAAAATGTTAAAATATTTAATAAAAAGTGACTTCTAAAAATGGTGAGAAGATTCTAAGGTGTATTCTTAATTACTTTCTGACTAGTACATAAAGAGCTTAAGTAAATCCCAAAGCAAAACTCAGTACCATCTACAATCTTAAGAACTGTCTGACTAGTACATAAAGAGCTTAAGTAAAACTGAGTACCATCTACAATCTTGAGAACTGTCTGACTAGTACATAAAGAGCTTAAGTAAATCTGAGTACCATCTACAATCTTAAGAACTGTCTGACTAGTACATAAAGAGCTTAAGTAAATCTGAGTACCATCTACAATCTTAAGAACTGTCTGACTAGTACATAAAGAGCTTAAGTAAAACTCAGTACCATCTGCAATCTTAAGAACTGTCTGACTACTACATAAAGAGCTTAAGTAAAACTGAGTACCACCTACAATCTTAAGAACTGTCTGACTAGTACATAAAGAGCTTAAGTAAATCTGAGTACCATCTACAATCTTAAGAACTGTCTGACTAGTACATAAAGAGCTTAAGTAAATCTGAGTACCATCTACAATCTTAAGAACTGTCTGACTAGTACATAAAGAGCTTAAGTAAATCTGAGTACCATCTACAATCTTAAGAACTGTCTGACTAGTACATAAAGAGCTTAAGTAAATCTGAGTACCATCTACAATCTTAAGAACTGTCTGACTAGTACATAAAGAGCTTAAGTAAATCTGAGTACCATCTACAATCTTAAGAACTGTCTGACTAGTACATAAAGAGCTTAAGTAAATCTGAGTACCATCTACAATCTTAAGAACTGTCTGACTAGTACATAAAGAGCTTAAGTATATCCCAAAGCAAAACTGAGTACCATCTACAATCTTATGAATAAAAAAAAATTTGGAGTATACCTAAACCAGACTGTTACCTAAAAACAAAGAATGAAAAAAGACCTGCAAAGGGCAACAAAAGACTGGTTTTCAGACACTATATCAAGCCATTAATTGTCCTGAGTTTATTAAAGTTGTGAGGTAATTGAATAGAAACTAATGAAGATCTGCCATCCTGTCTTGTCTTGTTTTGATGAAAATCCTGCCTTTCAAAGGCACACCTCTGGTTTCAGAGTAAATGGTGTATTCAACAACCACTAAAAGTTTATAACAATATTTAGTTTCTAAAGATTTTATTAGTTCACTTCTTTGACTGAGTGATCGTTAGTAACCCTTTTTGGTAATGTTAATAATAGCTTATTCCATCTTATGTACAGAGTTAAGCAGAGTTTTCTACTAATGTATTTTATAAGATGAAGAAAGTCTGTACATTTATATTTCCAACGACAGTTGCATACCAAGGCACTAGCATTCGAAATTAGTTGAGTATTAGTTTCTAATTGTTCTACTATTCTACATTTTGCGCAGAACTTGCTATTATTGCATCAACATAAAATTCTCAAAATTCTCTAATAAGTACTGAGGAGAAAAATATAAGTGATTAAGATGAAAATGAAAATGAAAATACATAATTGGAATATGTCAATGCAATAGCAAACCAACAACACAATATAACAAAAACAAGACATCTTAGGAGCACCATTTAGCAAATACTTCATCTATTTGGGATTAAAAAAAAATTTAAATAAGGGAGTAATCATCATAACAAACATGTTTTATCTCCCTTTCATATATTTTATATAGAAAAGTACAAATGACAAAAACAAAATATTACGAATTTTCTCCAACAGAATTAAGAAATGTGTAACTACTGATCTGTTCTGAACCTGAGCTTGTGTCACATTCTCCGACCTCTGAACCTGAGTTTGTGTCACATTGTCCGGCCTTTAAATAATCAGAAACACCACTTGAAATATCACCAGAATTTTCATCTTGCAGGAATCTTAATTCCTCATTTCTCCCATTGTCTGAGAAATTTTTTGCCTCTTTTATTGTCAATATCTGTACATCGTGTGGGAGATACTGGGAATCGGTGACAGCAAATTTTTCAACCTTATCTTGATTAATTAGTTTGTTCTGAATGTTCTTCTGCTTACTCTTTTCCAATGCGTAATTCAAAGATGAAGTGTCTAGGTTTATTATAGGAGTATTTGTATTTGAACTTTGCTTACTCTTTTCCAAAGCGTAATTCAAAGATGAAGTGTCATTGTTTATTATAGGAGTATTTGTATTTGGACCTTTCTTACTCTTTTCTAATGGGGAATTGAAAGATGAAGTGTCAATGTTTATGGTAGGGCTACTTGTGAATGAACCTTCATTACTTTTTTCTGATGTGGAATTCAAGATCGATGAAGTGTCCATCTTTACTGCAAGAGTACTTGTATTTGAACCTTCATTACTATTTTCTGAAAAAGTACTTAAAATATCTGATTGCACATATGAAGAAAGAGAATTTTCACCAATTTGATTGGAGTCCTTTTCTTCCAAATTCACACTTTCAGAGTATGCATTCAAATTGTCTGATTGCACATTTGACAAAGGACGATTTTCCTTCATCTGAGTTGAGCATTGTACTTCAGAATTTTCATTTTGATTAATGATATCTGATGTATCAGTGTAATCACTGACAGTGCTGTTACTACAGATGTTGTTGCTATGGTTACTGTTACTACAGATGTTGTTGCTATGGTTGCTGTTGCTATGGTTTGAACTTTGATTGAGACTATCTGACTTCAAAGATCCATCAACATCAACTTCTACATAATTTTCAACTTGATCATTAACCTTCTCTGGTGTAAAGGTTTGTAACTGAATATTATTTGAATCTTGTAAATCTTCCATACTTTTTCTTAACCAATCTTTAAGGTATTCTTTTTTGTTCTTGGTTTCATCTGCATTATCTTTTTCCATTAACGGTACACATATACTTAAACTATTGGAAGTTTCTTCCCTTATTTTTGATTCAAAATGGTCCAATACAGATGATCTTTTCTGCTTTGGTCTGCTGATGCGGCTACTATTAGTTATGCTGGTATGATTACTGGTACCTGACTTTGAAGTTGTCGACGATTTAAAGGTACCTGTATAACCATCTGTAACGTCACTTACTGTTCTGTCCCTTTCACAAATTTTGTCCTCACTTCTGCATTCTGTTAGTTCCTCATTGTTTTGTTTATTTTCCAATGTGCCATTGAATGGATTATCGTTGGAACTGTTAGAATCAGATATTGGTAAATTGGGAGAAGAAATACCTGTCTGATTTGACAACTCTTCTTCCGGTAGGATTATTTCATTATGAATGGACACGGATGATACACCACTATCAGACGATGTTCCTCCATTTTTTTCCTTCTGCAATTAAAAAAAATTTAAATATTTTCTATTAATGCTTAGAAATTTAAAATCATAATAACAATAATAATAATAAAATTCATAAAATTCAAGTGCAGCACTTTTTCACATGAATGTTGAACATGTGTATATTAAAAGGAAATATGGACACAATACCTTTAACACTACTTTCTGATTGTTTTCACCATAAACAAATTCAAAAGCCACTGTAAGTTGAATGACATGTAACATCAAACTTGTCAGTTTGTGAAATGCGAGCAATCCAGTACATCGTTTCAAAATTAAGAAATTTTTCTCTGAAGACACATCTCCTGACAGGGAGGTCAATGGAACTCCAAACTCCAAGTTACCTCCCACTGTCACAACTCAAGATATGTGCCTGTTCGATATTTGTTGTTATATTTGTGAATTTTGTCTTGCTTGCTTCAGGGTTTCATCCTTCTTTCTATCAAATGAAAAACTGCAGCAACTACCATAACAGTATATTTGGAGATGTATTATATAAAGGTGGTAACAACGATTTTAGATCTTTTTATCTTATTATGCCTCTTATTAAAATGTATGTATAGAATGACAATTTTAGATAAAATAATAGCTCTTACCATACATTTTCCTTCATATGGGCAAGATAACGCATTTCCAAATGTAAATTATACTTATAAAACACATTAAAACGTTAAATTTAATCAAAAGCAAGAAAAAATATCACACTTTTGAAACAAAAAAGAGGGTCTTAAAGATTTTGGTGTGAAAATGTGCTGTACCATTGTGCCAATAACAAATTTCTAATTTAACCCATTGACAGCAAATTTTTTAGAATGAACATGGTGTTGAAGCTGTATTTATTTTTAACATTGTGCAAAAGGCCTCAAAAACCTCCTTCAAATAACATTTTATGGCTACTTATCTGCAATCAGATTTTTTACTGTTATTTGTTTAATTTAAAGAATTCTAGAATATTTGTAATAACAAGAATTCAAGAAATGTAAGTTTATAATTATTCTTCAGTTTATTTGGATAACTTTCTTTTTCATATTGTAACAATGGACACATTCGTCACTAGCACAAGGACAAGGACTATGTCCCTAGGGCCATCAATAGGGTTATTTCTTACCTGATTTTCTATATCAGAACTCTGAAAATAGAATTAAAAAAACAATGAATTAAGATATCTAATACATTAGGTAAATTAATTAATTATGACAACTTTTAATTGATATGATAATTGCTGACAAATTAACATTAATTTTTAGGATAAAACCAATGTTGAATTTTTTATATCCTTATTTTATCAAACTTATATTTTTCTTCTTGAAAATTAAATTTTTAAAACAAATATCCCTTTTCATAATATATGTATCCATTCACAATTTTAATGAATCCCATATTATGTTGAATCTATGTGCTCTGAATCTGTCATTGTAGTTTTGTTTAAGATATTTGATTTCATGGGTCATAAATCAAAGTCAATGACTAAATTTCTAAACTACCAATAATTTCCATGACTAAATTCTGAGACTATTAATAATAGTCTTAGCTAAATTTTAGAACTACCAATATTTCCCATGACTTAATTTAAAATTACGTATAATTTCCATGAACAAATTTAAAAACTGTCAAAAATTTCCATGACTAAATATAAAACTACCAATAATTTCCATGTCAATCAATTTTTAAAACAACCAATTCTTTCCATGGATCATGACTAAATTTTGACATTACCAATAATTTCTATGAGTGAATTTTTCCAAAACACTACATGTTTTAAACACTAAGCACATTTCACCATGATAATTGACTCTCTATGAGGTGGGAAATAAAGACCATGATAATCTACTTAGAAAGATGACTTGTCTTAGTTGTAAGGCATTAAAATTTCTTTCATAATAGTAGGTTAAACAGGATAATGTGCAAACCCTAAACCAATGCTTCCCAATAAATACTTTATGTCCTCTTTTATAACATATACTACAAGTACAACAAAATATTTCTTTCCACTAGACATGCACATATGTCTACATAGAACTGTAGAAGTTTGGAAACAATTTTACATGGTTAGTAGACACAACATACAATGTATAAGAAATTATTTCTACATAAACTATTTATATGAAGCAGAGCAGAAGTAAAATTTATAGATGTTTCATAAGAAAAAGCTTTGATAAATCTATAAATAAATAGAAAAAAATCAGCACAAATACTATTAGTATGCAAAACTACTGTCAACATGTTAATTAAAAAGATTTAAAAACAAAACTCCTCAAATATTCTATATTCAACTCAAGCAGAAAACTCCTCAAATATTAGATATTCAACTCAAGCAGAAACCTCCTCAAATATTAGATATTCAACTCTAGCAGAAAACTCCTCAAATATTTGATATTCAACTCAAGCAGAAAACTCCTCAAATATTAGATATTCAACTCAAGCAGAAAACTCCTCAAATATTAGATATTCAACTCTAGCAGAAAACTCCTCAAATATTAGATATTCAACTCAAGCTGAAAACTCCTCAAATATTAGATATTCAACTCAAGCAGAAAACTCCTCAAATATTAGATATTCAACTCAAGCAGAAAACTCCTCAAGTATTCGATATTCAACTCAAGCAGAAAACTCCTCAAATATTAGATATTCAACTCAAGCAGAAAACTCCTAAAAAATTAGATATTCAACTCAAGCAGAAAACCCCTCAAATATTTGATATTCAACTCAAGCAGAAACCTCCTCAAATATTAGATATTCAACTCAAGCAGAAACCTCCTCAAATATTAGATATTCAACTCAAGCAGAAACCTCCTCAAATATTAGATATTCAACTCAAGCAGAAAACTCCTCAAATATTTGATATTCAACTCAAGCAGAAAACTCCTCAAATATTAGATATTCAACTCAAGCAGAAAACTCCTCAAATATTAGATATTCAACTCAAGCAGAAAACTCCTCAAATATTAGATATTCAACTCAAGCAGAAAACTCCTCAAATATTAGATATTCAACTCAAGAAGAAAAGAATACTGACACTGTAGAGTGGATTCATTTATTTTCCATTGGTACCGATTTTCGTTGATTGATTTGGTGGTTTTAGTAAAGAGAGCATACAATCTTGTAGGAAATTTATTCTTTATTGAATGTTTTAGTTCCTGTTTTATCTGAACCAATGGAATCAACGAAAATAGGTACCCAACAAATAATAATGAATCACCATTAGATAAAGCTTAAGATTAGAACTGTCTGATGAATCTTACCGGTACAGGTATGTATTGACTTGGCTGAAAATTATATCATCTTACACATTATTACAATCAAATATTAGAATACTATAATCATTACATATTCCTGTAAATATTGTAAAACTGTGTTAGCATTTTGAATGAACCAATTTTAAGTAGTCAGACTTCACTTCAGAATGAATGACCATGTTTATTACTAAGACCTGCAATATAGCAGGACACATTAAACTTTGTTTACAAAACACTCTTTTCATCCTGACTATGACAGTTACTATTATTTAAAACCAACGTAGATCTTAATTCCTACAGTCAATGAACCGTGTTTTTCAGTCAACATTTTTAACATTATTCCAAATTCAAATTTCTTTTATCTAATAGGCAACTTTCGAGATCATTGCATTTCCATCAAAAACTTTGGATTTAGTGAACATAGTTTATGAGTTAATGGGCTTTGTAACTTCAGTTCCTTCGTTGAGCAAGTGGTTGAAAAAATATGATGTTATATCGCACAAATATTTTGGCAAATTAAATTCTTATAATTGAAATTCAGCGCTGCCGTAATTAGGGAAAAAGTGATTAAGTACTGACAAAAACAAATATTATTTCTAGTTTATCCTGCATATAAATGATGATCACAAAGACGCTTGATGAAATTGTATAGAGCAGTGATACAGAGACTTTAAAATATAAATAAAGGTGAAATTATATTTTTTCTATACATTCTCATTTCTTTGTGATGTTACCTCGTGAACAACACTTTCCTTTGACAATAGTTTTGTTGTATGACATCAGAGAAATACAGGATTTGTTTAACATGTGATATATCAGTTTGTAATTCACAAGGAAATTACCTCAATAAGAATTGGAATTATGGAATGTGTCAAAGACACAACAATTTATTTCGACAAGATTAACCTAATATAAAGTATAAATTCTGGGCAAACAATATTTCTCCAATTTTTTTTTTCAAGTTTTTAAATTTTGTTTTCCAGTTTTGACAGTAAACTACTCTAAGCATTACACAGGATGAAGTGTTGGAATCACTTTTGCTAATGAATTTTATACAATATACTAACAATCTAAAAAGAAAAGTTATTTTCCCCTGTAAGATGTGATTATAAAACTTAGCCACCTACAATTAGAAGATGCAGTTGGAGCTTAAACTAAACATTGTTATCTCCATACTAATGAAAACTGACAGAAAACTGCTAAATCATATATTTAAAATTTGTCAATTGTCGTCTGCACTTGCTTGTAAGTTTTCATAGCATCAATTTTGAAATGATGCCATGAAAATTGGTGATATTATCCATTCAAAATGAACGTTACAAACGATGTTGCATTTGAATTTGTGATGACACAACAGGAATTTCAAAAGAAAAACCTGAAGAAAGGACTTTGTATAAAAAATTCGTAAGGGTTCCGCGGAACCCAGTGTCTCGCCTACTTTTTCTGTTAATCGCAGGCTCAACAAAAATGAGGAAGTAAATCAATAAAAATATTCCTCTTGATACTATCTTTTGATTGTAAGAAGCTTCTGTCCAAGTTTGGTAAAAATCCAGGATAGTTTATGAATCTAATAAATGTTTAAAAACTTTAACTGCAGACTGAATGTAATGTTAACTAGAAGAAAACAAAATTTCCTTCTAGATACTAGCATTTGATCATAAACAAGCTTCTGTCCAAGTTTGGTACAAATCAAAAATAGTATAAGAAAGTTATTAAAATTTAAAAAACTTTAACCACAGAGTGAATGTGTTGTTTCCTGGCAGAAAATCTAAGTCCATTTAAAAGTAAAATACGGAAAAAATGGATTTATTTTTTTACAAAATTTCCTTCTAGATACTAGCTCTTGATCATAAACAAGCTTCTGTCCAAGTTTGGTACAAATCCAAAATAGTATAAGAAAGTTATTAAATTTTTTAAAACTTTAACCACAGAGTGAATGTGTTGTTTCCTGGCAGAAAATCTAAGTCCATTTAAAAGTAAAATAAGGAAAAAATGGATTTTTTTTTTTTACAAAATTTACTTCTGGATACTATCTTATGATCATAAACAAGCTTCTGTCCAAGTTTGGTAGAAACCCAGGATAGTTTAAGAAAGTTATTAAAATTTTAAAAACTTTAACCACAGAGTGAATGTAATATATTCCCGGCAGAAAAACTAAGTCCATTTATAAGTAAAATACGGAAAAAATGGAATTTTATTTTTACAAAATTTACTTCTGGATACTATCTTATGATCATAAACAAGCTTCTGTTCAAGTTTGGTAGAAACCCAGGATAGTTTAAGAAAGTTATTAAAATTTTAAAAACTTTAACCACAGAGTGAATGTAATATTTCCCGGCAGAAAAACTAAGTCCATTTATAAGTAAAATACGGAAAAAATGGAATTTTATTTTTACAAAATTTACTTCTGGATACTATCTTATGATCATAAACAAGCTTCTGTTCAAGTTTGGTAGAAACCCAGGATAGTTTAAGAAAGTTATTAAAATTTTAAAAACTTTAACCACAGAGTGAATGTAATATTTCCCGGCAGAAAAACTAAGTCCATTTATAAGTAAAATACGGAAAAAATGGAATTTTATTTTTACAAAATTTACTTCTGGATACTATCTCATGATCATAAACAAGCTTCTGTTCAAGTTTGGTAGAAACCCAGGATAGTTTAAGAAAGTTATTAAAATTTTAAAAACTTTAACCACAGAGTGAATGTAATATTTCCCGGCAGAAAAACGAAGTCCATTTATAAGTAAAATACGGAAAAAATGGAATTTTATTTTTACAAAATTTACTTCTGGATACTATCTTATGATCATAAAAAAGCTTCTGTTCAAGTTTGGTAGAAACCCAGGATAGTTTAAGAAAGTTATTAAAATTTTAAAAACTTTAACCACAGAGTGAATGTAATATTTCCCGGCAGAAAAACTAAGTCCATTTATAAGTAAAATACGGAAAAAATGGAATTTTATTTTTACAAAATTTACTTCTGGATACTATCTTATGATCATAAACAAGCTTCTGTTCAAGTTTGGTAGAAACCCAGGATAGTTTAAGAAAGTTATTAAAATTTTAAAAACTTTAACCACAGAGTGAATGTAATATTTCCCGGCAGAAAAACGAAGTCCATTTATAAGTAAAATACGGAAAAAATGGAATTTTATTTTTACAAAATTTACTTCTGGATACTATCTTATGATCATAAACAAGCTTCTGTTCAAGTTTGGTAGAAACCCAGGATAGTTTAAGAAAGTTATTAAAATTTCAAAAACTTTAACCACAGAGTGAATATTTGTGGACGCCGCCGACGACGACGACGCCGACGGAATGTAGGATCGCTATGTCTCGCTTTTTCGACTAAAGTCGAAGGCTCGACAATAAAACCACAAGTTGATAGGACAAAAATAATCAACTAGTAAAGGAAAATATACATCGGCTAAGAATTAAAGAAAATAACTTACTTTAATCTGTGGTGTAATGATGCTGGTATCATGATTACTATACGTTTTCCTGACTTTCCTGGAATCAGAAGATTACAGATTAAACATCAAAACAAATGGTCCTGAAATTCCATATAGTTTAGTTTAAACATATCTATTTATCGCGGATAAAGGATTCAAGATTGGCCTGCTTTTGCACCATATGAATGCAATATTATTAAATATGCTAATAGGCCTTTGGACTAGGCAATTAAAAAAAAAAGTGACACTCATTTAAAGCAAATATTGAGAATAGAATATCAAGGATTGTTATTTGAAGTTTTTGTATTTTGATCTTGGATTTAATGTGTATCCAATCAAAGACTAAAATATGAAACAAATAAATAGCAATATATATGTATAAACCTACCATAAACAAAGAAGAATTCCAAGTATGGATACTATTGAACAAAATACAACTATCAAAACTTTTATTCCAACAGGTAAAGGTGTATCTGAAAAAAGTGAAATTTATTACATTTATTCAATATCTTTAAAGCACAAATTTGAATAAAATAGAATTGAAGAATTATAAAAAAAAATCAAAACAATAAAATGCCCAAATAAAGTTTATAATGGTGTTAAATTCTAAATTGTTAACAATGGGACATACCAATGGATCAATCTATAAATCACACAAAAAGACAAACAGAAGCACACACACACACACACACAGTTGAACAGGACAATACTAAATGTAAAATGATATCAGCTAACAAGCTCTGAACAAACCACCATCTTTAGACAGAGAACAGGACACAACAGACTCAACCAACATCTACACAAAGTCATGAAAGTTGTTCCATCTCCAATGTGTCCTTGTGGAGAAGCAGAGCAGGATATGGCACACCTCTTACAGTCATGCAAGATCCATCAGGCATTGAGAGATAAAATATGGCACTCAGAAACACCACTTAAAGAGAAGCTATATAGACCAATGGATGCCTTACAGAAGACCACCAGATTTGTTGAGGAGACTGGTTTTCAAGTGAAAAGGCAAACGATAAGAAGAAGAAGATATAAAAATGGATTTGACACTTGCGCTGTCTTGCTACAGTATAAACATTACAATGAATTATAAGATTAAATTATCTGAGTTATCCCCCTTTGTGAATTTATTTGAGATTTTTAGGCAGTAGGACAGCACTTTGATAAGTTGAAAACAATGTAAAGAAACCCACATGTTTACCACCCACTTGATACAGCCCTCTCTGATGTACCAGGTTGTTACCACTAACAGTCTGTATGATTAGGAGAATTACTAATGTCATGTGATTCTAATCGGTTACTTGGTCATTGAAATACAGGTGAAGTTAACATAATAAATCACTGTAAATGTGTTTTCATTGTACAAAACATTAGACACAGAATTTGAGGTAATATGGTCTTACTACAACGAAAAACGACTGAGAAATGACAAAGTTATGATGATTCAAAGAAATTTAATATTGCAATTTCACTCATACTTCTTAATAAACTCTTCCATCTGTGTTTATGAACTTTAAAACAGTCCATGATATACATTATAACAGAATTTTTGCCTTATAATTGGATGTTATAATGATTCATGCTTATGTTAATTTTAATACTAATCATTGGGAAAATGACACTTTCTAAAGTAAAAACTACATGCCCCTTATGTCCTCTAATCTCAGACAGGAATATTTACTTATCAATAAGATGTGTTTGTACTTAATTAAAATGAAGTGTTCTTTTATCTAAATTTCTTTACATGTTATAAGTTTTCTTGTTTGAATTGGTTTACATTTGTCATTTTGGGGCCTTTAAAGCTGACTATGCTGTATGGGCTTTGCTCATTGTTGAAGGCCATATTGTGACCTATAGTTGTTAATTTCTTTTATCTAATCAGCTAGTACTAGTCTCTTGTGAAGAGTTGTCTCATTGGAAATCATACCACTTGTTCTTTTTTTATATCTGAGCCATTAACTTACAAACTTAATTGTCATAATTTTTCAGTTTCTGGCCAACCTTACACTCATAAAATGACAAAAAATCTTTGCAAAACATCAATAGATGCAGTCACCATTATATTATTCTTTACCTGTAGAAAATGTCAAGGCCATCTGTGGGTTACTGATTACTTCATCACCGCCATTACTTGTCACACCCAAGCACACTGCATAATTGGTGGATGGTTTTAAATTTTCCAGAGTTATTCCCCCTGTTTTAATATTAGCCTCAACTCTTTTATGTAAGAATGCTGTTAAAGAAAAATCAAAATGAATTCCAATTCTATACAGACTGGTAATAAGTATGTGTATCAAACAATAAAGTAATTTTAATTTATAGTATTTCTAACCCTATTTTGTATACAGTATACACCAATGGACTGCTGGGATTCTTTCTCTCCCAGGTACTACAAAATCTGATACGTTTTTCAGTATAAAATTGATAAAATCTTGAACTATTCAAGACTTCGCTAAATTTGTGGATTTTGGTATGTCTGACTGAAAAACTATCAGCACTGCTCTGTGAATAAATTAACCACATAATTCTAATCATAGATAAATTTTATCATAAAGAAGATATATTTTGCCATATAAAATGACCATAATAAATGTGATTTATTTGATGTGAAGTATTTTATAATGGTTTGTGAATATGGGAATGAAATTGGCGCCATACACTGGCATCACTTTAAAATTTAGTTTGAATGTCATTTTATACAGAAATTATTAGGATAATAGCGAGCACATTTTTAACACATGTCCTTTTCTGTATGGTACTGTCTTTATTAATTATAACCTGACGATAAAATCGGCTACAATTAGGTAGTGTCAATTCCCGTCAATATATATGTTCCTGGTAGTACACAGTATCTACCAATGGCCGGCGTGGATAAAAACTGTAATCACATGACTTTATACTATCATGTGACTTTCTGTAGTACACAATATACACCAATGGCCTGCTGGGATACTTACTGCTATCACATGACTTTGTATTATCATCTGACTTTCTGTAGTATACAGTATATACACCAATGACCTGCTGGGATACTTACTGCTATCACATGACTTTGTATTATCATCTGACTTTCTGTAGTACACAGTATACACCAATGACCTGCTGGGATACTTACTGTGATCACATGACTTTATATTATCATCTGACTTTCTGTAGTATACAGTATATACACCAATTACCTGCTGGGATACTTACTGTTATCACATGACTTTATATCTTCATGTGACTTTCAGTAGTACACAGTATACACCAATTACCTGCTGGGATACTTACTGTGATCACATGACTTTGTATCCTCACGTGACTCTTTGTAGTACACAGTATACACCAATGGCCTGCTAGGATACTTATTTATATTACAATAATCGCCAGGTTTAACAACTAGTTCTGTCTGACTTTCAGGTATAGCACTGATGTCGGAGATGCCTAAAGGACCTGTTAATAAAAATACCAACAATTTATATTCATGCATCCTGATACTTATGTTTATTGCATATTTGTAAATGCAAAAATGAACTTAAATTTTCAAAAGTTTTTATGTGGATTAATCATAATAATTTGACAAAAAAACCTTAACAATGGTAATTTTTTATGGTTAAGTGGAAGATTTTCATGATTTTGAAAATACATTTTTTTTTAATGACAACCTGAAGATAAGAATTAAAGAAACTATGCAAAAAACTTAGTTTTTAATGAAATGCTTAAGAATAAATGAATAAGTTTAAAAGTAAAATAAAAGTTTTAGTACTGCCAAAAACTGTACAAATATAAATGATATTAACTGGGTGTACAGTTTACTGAGATAAATCATTGACAATATTATCTCTGAAATATTCATTAATAAACTTTGATCAAAATAAACAAGACGACCTTATCATGCTTGTGCAAAATAATATCAATACATCTTGTTAATCTATTTCAGTTAAAAAAATCTCTATGGAAGGTCATCCTTGGGTTAAGGAATTCGTGGTACCTATGTAACAACCATTGCTATATTTTAAGGTTGTATTTATATGTATTTGTATATATTGCCTTTACCTGAAAAAAAATTATTATTATTACATTATTATTATGTAACTGTTTAAAAATTAAGTTGTACAAAAAAGACCAAATTTTATCTTTTATTTCTTATTTGAATGTTCCAAAAAAGATCAAAATGTTAAACATAGATATAAGAAGATGTGGTATGAGTGCCAATGAGACGACTCTCTCATCCAAGTCACAATTGTAAATTAAAGTAAACCATAATAGGTCAAAGTCTGAAACAATAGATAAAAAAGACACACTATAAAATAACAATTAAAAGGGATCCCGCTATCATGTTTAACCCCGCCACATTCTGTATGTTTGTACCTGTCCCAAGTAAGAAGCCTGTAAATCAGTGGTTGTCATTTGTTGATGTGTTACATATTTGTTTTTCGTTCATTTTTTGTACATAAATTAGATGGTTAGTTTTCTCATATGAATTGTTTTACATATGTCATTTTGGGGCCTTTTATAGCTGACTATGCGGTATGGTCTTTGCTCTTTGTTGAAGGCGGTACGGTGACCTATAGTTGTAAATTTCTGTGTCATTCCAGTCTCTTGTAGAGAGTTGTCTCATTGGCAATCATACCACATCTTCTTTTTTATATTAACTCAATTAAAAGACAAATTAATGTCTGTGAACATACACTGAACGAATAAATTTGATCTTTGACACAATGTAAATACATATACATATACATATAGATTCTACCACTGCATCAAGTGTGATACGATATTTATCCACTCGAGACAGTTAAATTTTCAAATTTAAAACGCGAAACTTGGTGGTGGAATCTGTTTCTCTAATGATTTTCAAACAATACACAGGCAAACTTATTCCGTCTTTTCGAATGATCAGCAAAAAGATGTGTTCTTTCTATGTGACGTCATCAGGCATGTTCGCCTTTTTTCATGCTGTCACAATAGGAAATTCAGAGGAAAGCAAGAAAATTCGACGTCATAATCGGATTTTAACCAATGAAGAACTGAGATCAAACGAACCACACGCTGATTAAATTTTTTTATACAATGGGTGCAGATAGGAATAAATTGAGGAAGAATTTGAGAAATGTACATATATATTTGCACTTGCAAAAGGTCAATTTTTATTCAATGCAGCTCAAATTATAAATAACATACTTCCTGTGAAATCAGGAAAATGACACTTTGAGAAAACCATTTCTGTGTTATATCCATCAGTGTAGAGATAGGACACAGCAAATATCCATCTATCTTCTCTCTCTGTGGTGACTGATATATTCGTCAGATCACGAGATACATTAATCAAATTCAAATCACTCTGAAAGTAAAGTCAGAAAATATATCAACACTATGTCATATTGTAAATGTTTAGTATGTCTTGTGGTATGCTCGTTCCTAGTACTACGTTCCAGGTATTAGCTGATAGCCATACTCTCTCTATATATATATATATATATGGGTATATGTGTAACATACTGATCGGGAACCAGTCTAATCGTGTCACGTAAATAAACTGCTAATTTTTGAAAGTATAAATTATTATTAGTATTAATTAGCCCTTTCTATCTAATTCTTTAGAAAGTGTTCTAATTGAGATTATTTTTCTTTTTCTTTCTCTTCTTTCTTCATTCATTGTATTTTTGTTTTGCGAGATGTTGATAAGGTATTTGGTATATGATAACAAGCAGTATAAAATTGAGAATGGAAATGGGGAAATCAAATTAGTGTCAAAAAGACAACAAGACCATAGAGCAGAAAACAGACCTTGGCCACCAATGGGTCTTTAACATAGAGAGAAAATCCCACACCTGGAGGCAGCTTTCAGCTGGTATACATACTTTGATTCATTATTTTGTACAAAAATTAGGCCATAAATTTTCTCGTTTGAACTGTTGTTCATTTGTTATTTTTGGGCCTTCATAACTGAATATGCGGTATTGGCTTTGCTCATTGTTGAAGGCTGTACAGTGACTTATAGTTGTTAATTTCTGTGTCATTTGGTCTCTTGTGGAGAGTTGTCTCATTGGCAATCATACCACATCTTCTTTTCTATATAAATTGAAACCAAACACCTTGTAACCTGAAATACTTTTATCTCCAAGAAAATCCTCTGAACAGATTATTATGAAAAGAGGCACATAAGACTACTGACCTGACAAACTGTCTGAATACCAACGCACCAGTATACAACAATCTTCTCTAATTGACTGCTTATATTTCTACTCTGTGTGTCCCAGGATACACTGTAATGTTTACCTGATCCTTCCACAACAATATATGCTGGTGTTTGTCTTCCTGTAAGTGATGCACATTTCTTAAAGTTAATTTCACTATTAAATTTTGAATTGAATTGTCTAAGTCTACCCAATACATATATTTGCTTGGTCATATTATCAAAACAGTTTGCCATTATTCAAGAATTATGTGAAAAATATACCATAAACTCAACATTTATAGAGTTAAAAAAAAAAATAGCAATTTTGAGTTTCAATGTCCCTGTTTCTCATACAAAGTATGGAGTTCTTATATTTCAATGTAAACCACAAGTAATACTTCATTGTATTTATAAACTTCTTTAAATAAAAAATATGTCAAAGTTGATGTTTTCCATGGATCTAATGAACATCAACAAGAAAATCCAATGCTAAGCTGTTGCTGATAAGGATAGGTTTTTGTTGCAGATTGTCAGACTGGAAAAATTCAAGGCAAAATCATTCCATTCACCATATACAGCTGATCTATTGCTTTCCAGAAACAGAACTAACCACAAAAAGTTAATATTGACCAATGAACCATGAAAATACAGTCAAGGTCAGATAAAACATATAGTATCTGAGATACTGACTTAACCACAAAAACTATACTTTGATCACTGATCCAAGAAATGAGGTTGAGGTCAAGTGAACCCTGTCTGACGGACATGTAGACCTTGCAAGAATCCTTTATATCTAATATAGTTATCCTATAACTAATAAGTGACTACTTCAAATAACAAAAAACCCTGAATTTTTTTCAAGCAGTCGCTGAACTATGAAAATGAGGTCAAGGACATTTTTACCTTCTGAAATATAAAGCTTTACACCAATAGTTCACTTCATCACAGTTGCTGCCAGATAGTAGCCCCTATGTTTTGTAATCTAAGACTTTAATTCATTGAAGGCAAAAAAAGGAACGGGACATGTCAACTCTAAAATTTACATATTTGGTTTGCCAAAAAAAAAAATCCTGCCCAATCATTCCAATCTTTTTGTACATGAGATAAAACTTCCAAGGCTTAGATTTTCCTGTAACAAAAAACTTAACTGAATGAAAAACAAATCTTCTGTTCAACAGGTTAATATAAAAAATACTGATAACAAGCATTCTGAGAGTATTGCATTGGTCAAAATTCATTGTACTGGAACAAAATGCTAACTTGATCTATAACTTGTCATGTTGTAAACTATATAATAAATATCAAGTCAATATCTTCAAGCATGATGAAAAAAAATGTGGAAAACTGATTATTTGAGTGAATTTTCTAAGTCCAAGGATCATAACTCTGCACAAAATCATCAGATCGGAACAAAATTCGAACATAATCTGTAGCTTGTCATGATAAAACAATGTACTAATTATTAAATCAATATTTTCAAGCATGATTAAAAAAAAGTGTGGAAAACTGAATATTTGAGTGAATTTTCTAAGTCCGAGGACCATAACTCTGCACAAAATTATCAGACCGGAACAAATTCAAACTTGATCTGTAACTTGTCATGAGAAAGCAATATACCAAATATCAAATCAATATCTTCAAGCACAAAGAAAAAAAGTGTGGAAAACTGATTTGCCGGACTGACGGATGGACAGACAGACAGACAGGCGGACGGAGTGCAAGCCTTAAGTCCCCTTGGACTTCGTTGTAGGGGACTAATAATAAATCATTCACACTTTAAATGACACAGTTTAATCAATCATACCACAATGTCCTTTTAAGGCATAAGTCAACTTTAATTATTACTTTAATCCTCCACAAGAATTATTACCTGAATCATACAATGGTGTAGTAATTCTACTGGAATCAATACTCTCTCCAATATCATTCACCGTCTTAACTTCTATCAAGTAAGATGTTAAATTCTTTTGAGGACGGGTAACTTCTATCATTGCTATGTCCCATGACACATTCAATTGTCTAAAGACTGGTCCTTCAGAAGTTGAATATACTGTAACTGTGTAGAATGCTTTCTCAGAAAATTTTTCCCTTTTACTAATAGGCTGAAATATGGATTTTTTTTTGAAATACTGTGGACTTATTAATATTACTCGAATACCAATTTTTGTGGATTTTGTGGGTATAAGTGAACCACGATTTTAAATGTTCAATGAAGTGAAAATTTTCTTTTTTTTTAATAAACAAAACTTTATTGCAGTATTACTTTTTAATCAGATTACAGGGTTAGTCAAGATACCCCTGTAATAAGTTAAATTTGAATGCTGGTAATTTCTTTTAATTAACCACAAATGTTTTATAAGCTGTGCACAAAATATCAACAAAAATCAAATATCCATGAAAACACAATTTTTCCTCAATCCAAAAAATTTGTTATACAAGAAATTATGAATGAATCACCAGTATATTTGATATTTCAAATATTTTACAAAGATTCTTAACCATTAATATTTCTAGAAAAAACAGAATATTATTTGCAATATAAATGTCAGAATATCTAATTTACCTTAATGCTGCAGATGATAAAATTGATGATATTTTTATCGCTTACCCTAATATAAAGAGACAGGACTCCACTAGACCAAATGTAGCCACCAATATACGGTACACTAACAGGAGCTGAAATAACCATAAACATACTGATAAATGATATAAAGAGACAAGACTCCTTTAGACATAATGTAGCCACCAATATACAGTACACTAACAGGAGCTGAAATAATCATTAACATACTGATAAATGATATAAAGAGACAGGACTCTGTTAGACGTTATGTAGCCACCAATATACGGTACACTAACAGGAGCTGAAATAACCATTAACATACTGATAAGTGATATAAAGAGACAGGACTCATTTAGACATAATGTAGCCACCAATATACGGTACACTAACAGGAGCTGAAATAACCATTAACATACTGATAAGTGATATAAAGAGACAAGACTCCTTTAGACATAATGTAGCCACCAATATATGGTACACTAACAGGAGCTGAAATAATCATTAACATCCTGATAAGTGATATAGTGAGACAAGACTCCTTTAGACATAATGTAGCCACCAATATACGGTACACTAACTTGAGCTGAAATAACCATTAACATACTGATAAGTGATATAGTAAGACAAGACTCCTTTAGACATAATGTAGCCACCAATATATGGTACACTAACTGGAGCTGAAATAACCATTAACATACTGATAAGTGATATAAAGAGACAAGACTCCTTTAGACATAATGTAGCCACCAATATAAGATACACTAACAGGAGCTGAAATAATCATTAACATACTGATAAGTGATATAAAGAGACAGGACTCATTTAGACCTAATGTAGCCACCAATATACGGTACACTAACTGGAGCTGAAATAATCATTAACATACTGATAAGTGATATAAAGAGACAAGACTCCTTTAGACATAATGTAGCCACCAATATACGGTACACTAAAAGGAGCTGAAATAATCATTAACATACTGATAAGTGATATAAAGAGACAAGACTTCTTTAGACATAATGTATCCACCAATATACGGTACACTAAAAGGAGCTGAAATAATCATTAACATACTGATAAGTGATATAAAGAGACAAGACTCCTTTAGACATAATGTAGCCACCAATATACAGTACACTAACAGGAGCTGAAATAATCATTAACATACTGATAAATGATATAAAGAGACAGGACTCTGTTAGACATAATGTAGCCACCAATATACGGTACACTAACTGGAGCTGAAATAACCATTAACATACTGATAAGTGATATAAAGAGACAGGACTCATTTAGACCTAATGTAGCCACCAATATACGGTACACTAACTGGAGCTGAAATAATCATTAACATACTGATAAGTGATATAAAGAGACAAGACTCCTTTAGACATAATGTATCCACCAATATACGGTACACTAAAAGGAGCTGAAATAATCATTAACATACTGATAAGTGATATAAAGAGACAAGACTCCTTTAGACATAATATAGCCACCAATATACTGTACACTAAAAGGAGCTGAAATAACCATTCACTTACTGATAAGTGATATAAAGAGACAGGTCTCCTTTAGATCTAATGTAGCCACCAATATATGGTACACTAACTGGAGCTGAAATAACCATTAACATAGAAAGAGACATAACTTTTTAAATGATAAACTTATTGAAGTAATATTATGTATACATCAAATTGTCCCAATTGTTAGGGTACCATAGCTGAAAACTACTGTGTTACTTATAAAGTAGTCATGAAATTTTTGGTATGGTGTAATAAGATACCTGCTGGTTTTGTTGTATAGGTACCAGTCACAGTAGGACTCCAGTACTTATCTCCCTTAGATTGAGGAACTTTAGCTTTCACTGTGACAGTATATGCTGTGTATGGAATAAGATCAGGAAGAATGACAGCATTACTTTCATTAGGTGAATTGAACTGTGTCTGAAAATTAAAAAAATACTGTATTTCAACTATAGAAGTTAGGGATAGATGTCAAGTTTTAAATGATATGTTATATTTAAGAACGGTTATGAAAAATGTCAGTTTAGAGGTTAGGGATACAATTTACCATTCAAAATGGTTAAGAAGAAATGTCAATTCAAATTGATAAGGAATAAATGACAATTTTAATTTTTTAAGGGAATATATGTCATTTCTACCAACTAGTTAATAAAAAATTGTAAGGGTTCCGCGAAACCCAGTGTCTCGCCTACTTTATGAATGTAATTAATGTTTTAAGAAGTTTAACTGCAGACTGCATATTATGTTAACAGGATGAAAAACTAAGTTCATATATAAGTAACATACGGAAAAACTGAAAATATATTTTTACAAAATTTCCTTCTGCATACTAGCTTTTGATCATAAACAAGCTTCTGTCCAAGTATGTTTGAAATCCAGGATAGTTTAAGAAAGTTATTAAAATTTTAAAAACTTTATCCACAGAGTGAATGTAATGTTAATTGGCAGAAAAACTAATATAAACAAGAAGATGTGGTATGATTGCCAATGAGACAACTCTCCACAAGAGACCAAAATGACACAGTAATTAACAACTATAGGTCACCGTACGGCCTTCAATAATGAGCAAAGCCCATACCGCATAGTCAGCTATAAAAGGCCCCGAAATGACAATGTAAAATAATTCAAATGAGAAAACTAACAGCCTAATTTATGTACAATAAATGAACGAAAAACAAATATGTAACACATAAACAAACGACAACCACTGAATTACAGGCTCCTGACTTGGGACAGGCACATACACAGAGAATGTGGCGGTGTTAAACATGTTTGCGGGATCCCAACCCTTCCCCTAACCTGGGACAGTGGTGTAACAGTACAACATAAGAACGAACTATAAAAATCAGTTGAAAAAGGCTTAACTCATCAGATGAAAAAAAAACAATTACTACAAATACAAGTGGACGTGTCCGGGTACTTGTACATCCCAACAACAAAAAGACACTAAGTACAGATCTGAGAGTACTCGCAGTTACTGACAGCTAGTTCAAAGCCACTAACAACTAATAAAAAAAATCATGCATCTAAGACCATTTATAAGTCAAATACGAATAAACAGGATTTTTTTTTTACAAAATTTTATTAAAACAGAAAGTTATTAAAATTTTAAAAACTTTAACCACAGAGTGAATGTTATGTTAACCGACAGAAAAACTAAGTCCATTTATAAGTTAAATAAGGATAAACAGGATTTATTTTTTTACAAAATTTACTTCTGGATACTATCTTATAATCATAAACAAGCTTCTGTCCATGTTTGGTAGAAATCCAGGATAGTTTAAGAAAGTTATTTAAATTTCAAAAACTTTAACCACAGAGTGAATAATTGTGGACGCCACAGACGACGGAATGTAGGATCGCTATGTCTCGCTTTTTCGACAAAAGTCAACGGCTCGACAAAAATGTCAATTTTTAATTGGTAGCTAACAAAGTTATGGAAAGGTGTCAATTCCAAATGGGTAGAGATTCATCAATACAAGACTTTTGTAATGACTGATGGTGATCATTATCAATTGGATTCTTATAGCACTGTCTCCCAGGTAAAGGAAGACATGTTACCCTATTAACGTTCATTTAATGGATCTGTGTCATTACAAAATACAGTAGGTGTAAACAATGGCAGGACATACCCTGAGAATCAGACACATTGTTTGAAGTTTTCAGTATTGTATATTTTATCTAAGAACAGTAAGTTAATCATAAAACAATCTTTCTCTAATTTTTGCGCTACTTTCACATTTTTTGAGCGGTGTGAGAAAAATATTTCTCCTCACTAGTGAAAAATCTGTTCACGGCAAATGATTGGTTGAAATTTGACAGTGACGTTAAATTTTCTTGGCTTCTTCTGAACTTTCCTATTGTGATGTCATGAAAAAAGGCGACCATGCCTGATGATGTAACATAAAAAGTACACAACTTTCTTCAAATCTTTGAAAAGGAAGGATAAAAATCATTCGAGAAACAGATTCCACCACTATAACTCATGTATTACCATATTTCTCCACTCTCAACAGTTAAATTTTAATTATTTAAAAAACTCGGCAAACCTCGCGCTTTAAATATTAAAATTTAACTGTTTTGAGTGGAGAAATATCGTAACACACTTGTTGCAGTTGTGGAATCTATATTTCTAGTTCTCACATGATTAGAACTGTTAATTTTTACCCAAATTTTGTTTCTCTGCAGTAAATTTCCACCAAAATAATTTATATTTACATTGGATTCACATGCAAAATATTAGCATATAGTTAGAATACTTTTAAATCAGAAATTTTTGCAGTGTTTTTATTTTGCAAGAATTGCAATTTGAAAGGGGTTGCAAAAATTAATAAACAGCTGCGCCACGAGCGCATGATACGTCTGTCGTCTTGTGTGTGAAGTTTTATGCAATAATCATAAATAGTTTCCGAGATAAGACGCTACATGTGAAAAAAAACCCCTCAATAACTCTAAAAAAAAAATTTGAATCATCACCAAAAAGTATACACATCTTTAGACTAATATAACTAAGAAGTATGTAAAGTTTTAAGCAATAATCATAATTCGTTTTTGAGATACGGCGTGACATGTGAAAAAAAACACCCCCTGTTTTAGTTACAAAGTCCAGTAACTCAAAAAGTTTTAATCTTATTTTCACCAAAAAGTATACAGATCGTTTGACCATCATAAGAAACAACTATATTAAGTTTCATGAAATTTGGATAAGTTGTTCTACGGTGCAACATGTTTACGCCGGACAGACAGACGGACAGACAAATGTACGCCGGACATTTGTATACCATAATACGTCCCGTCAAAATTTTGACAGGCGTATAAAAATCTTTTTTTCAACAATTGCAATAAGAAATGCACACAACTTTTTTTCAGAATTTAAAGTAGTAGTATTTAATGATAAAAGAACTTATTTAACACATAACACTTACAGTATTGGTTATTGTGTCCGTAGTATAGACTACATCATATAATATACTGCTATTTATCCATATATCTATATAAGAAGCCATGGATTGCTTTGTTGATAAAGCAATTTCTCTCTCAGTTATGTTAAGTAGTGTTACCTTTGGTGGGGAAAGTTTTACTGAAAAAAAGACAAAGCAGACTTATTATTGTAATAACAGCAGGATTATGATCACAAATAATTTACAAAAAACATTAACTTATCACAGAAAAAAATATTTCTCATTGAATGTGAGAATGAACTAGGATCTCAGAAAATTTACTAACACCTCTAACTAAAGCTACTGTGCTATTCAAACAGTATATCAGAAAATTAACAAACACTTCTTTTACCTATACTAATGTGTCATATAAACAGGATCACAAAAGAATTTCAAACACCACTGGCTTACGATAAAGTGTCATGTAAAACATGTCAAAATAGGAATTATGAGTCAAGGAACAATATCCTATGAAATGATATTTCTAGAATAGCTAATCGAAGAATTCAAATAGAGAAACATATTCAACAAGTGACCGAACAACACATAAATTCATGAATGCGCATAGCGCATGAGTTAATTATCAGTGTTGTTCGGTCACGAGTTGAATATTTTTCGATATTTGAATTCTTTGATTAGTTATTCTTTTATAAATTACATTGGTAAATGGCTTTTTTTTCTGAAATTAAAGTAGATAAAATGCTTCGCTGAGTGCAGCCTGATACGACCGCAGAGGTCGAGCCCTGAACAGTTTTGGGGCAAATTTGGACACAATATTCAAGCTTGATACTGTCTAAATTTGGATTGTGATCAAATTTTTGACATAATATAGGTTTCTGACACAAAATAAATGTGGTCAACGATCTTACAAATCTATTGCGCAATACTGTGCAATTGAAGATTTCTTCTTGAAACTTTTAAAAAATTCAAAATTTTAAAAATTTAGAAAAAAATATGAATCCCTTAAATAAATTGGAAAAAAAAATCCCCCCCCCCCAACTTTTTGAAACCCCCTTTGGAGCAATAACCCAAAACTCAATCCCAGCCTTTCCTTTGTAGTATAGAACCTTGTAGTACAATTTCAGAGAGATCCATACACTTAAACACAAGTTAATGTCTGGAAACTAGAAAAATGCTTGTTTTTGGCCCTTTTTTGGCCCCTAATTCCTACATGTTTGGGTCAATTAACCCCAAACTCAATCCCAGCCTTCCCTTTGTTATATGGAACCTTGTGGTACAATGTCAGAGAGATCCATACACTTACACACAAGTTATTGTCTGGAAACTAGAAAAATGCTTGTTTTTGGCCCCTCTTTGGCCCTTAATTCCTAAACTGTTGGCCCCATAACCCCTAAAATGAATCCCAACCTTCAACTTGTGATATTAAACATTGTGGTAAATTTCAGAGCAATCGAAATACTTATACAAAAGTTATTATCCTGAAACTTGAAAAAATGCTTGTTTTGGGCCCCTTTTGGGCCCCTAATTCCTAAACGGTTGGGACCATCATCCCCAAAATCAATCCCAAACTTTCTTTTGTGGTATTGAACCTTCTTAAAAAATTTCATAGAGATCCATTCACTTAAACTAAAGTTCGACGACGACGCAGACGACGATGACATCATACCATTATACGATCCCAAAAATTTTTTTGCTATCGTATAAAAATGTAAGGAACTATATCTTTTTCTAAGCATTCACAATATGTTTTGATCCGATGTCATGATGCCTATTGTTGTATGACGTCAGAGGAGTGAAATAACCACGTTTATTTCACATGTGAAATTATCGGTTTTTATTTCACTGGGAAATCAATGTAATTCATTGCAAACCAATGTAATATTTACAATTAACATCTACAAACAATAGTGAATTATCAATGTTTCATAGTTACTAAAACAAGAAGGTAACTTGAAATGATTCATGATATATATGTATAACAGAACAGAGGGTGGTAAAGGGGGGGTGCTTGCACGGAAAAAACGTGAAATAAGACATAATTTCACGTTGAACGTGAAATAATTTCTGTCATGAACGTTGCACGAAAAATAAAGACTGTTGTGAACCTTTTGTGACTGAGTCACTGTCTTTTTGTATATATAAACTCTCTGTTTTACTTGTTATTCCCGATTTAGTATACACATTTATGATGTAAATGGTTTACGGCTTTTAAAAAAGTATTTCTTGACGATCCCTGCCAAGTATTTGATTTTTATTTGAAAAATACCGAGCACGCAAAATAAGCAATTGAAAATTACGATGCACGTAAAATTAAATAAGCAGAACACGTTGAACGAGGTACCTGTCTTGCACGACTGAACGTCAAATAAAAAAGTAAAAACACGTTGAACGTGAAATAAAAAACGGCGATCACGTTGTACGAAAATAACCCTTTACCACCCTCAGAACAATTCATGATAAAATGAATAACTGTATGATTCATGGTAAAAAGTATAACAGTAATATTCATGGTAACGATTTATTATTTAAAATTGGCTTTGAAGTAACTTTGAGTAACTGAGATTACTCTTAGAACATTTATTTTAGTTTTTTTAATAGTTGTTTTTTTGTTAAGTTTTGTGCATATTTGATTACTCAAGCTTTTCTTTATAATATGTTGTTATACCTTTTTCCCAAGTTAGGGGGGAAAGCAGTTACACACATGGTTCTCATACTGTTTATGATGTCTTTATACTAAATCTGTTGGATGTGTACTGATTTATACTTTAGTACCGAAAAAGTGGGGTTGGGGGAATGGGGGCACATACCTGTTATGTCTTGATACTTACTAATTTCTTTTATATTGACATTATGTTCTGTCATTTGAAATGCACAAACATTAGATGCATTTATAATTACAGTGTGGTTATTTCCTGGCTGAAATGTACACTTCTCAGGCTTCGATGATGGAGCAATATAACAGCTGGTTTGATCTCTCTTTGTAGGCTTAGGGTGTGGACAGTTAATCTTTCCATACATGGGACTGTAAAAAAATAATAGAAAAACTGCATTTCACTAAATGTCAAACAATATTTGATTGTAAATGTTTTGATAGGATCATTTAATTCAACACACCAAATTTTTGTGGATATAAATAACTGAAATGAATTCATATCAACAAACTTTGCGAAATAAAATCAAAACAGCCATAAGAAATAGAAAATATCTTTTTTCTTTGGTCTGAAGTTAATTTTGTTCGTAACCCCTGCAAAAATTCAACATGAATGGGTGCGTTTTAGTTGGTTTGTATTTGATAGAGTTTACCACTGTCAATTTCTATTCTGTTAAATAGCTATTTATAAAAAAAACCACTTTAAAATCACACAATTGTTAAAAGATAGATTTGTCACTGATATATATAAATTTAAAATGTTTACCTGCTGTGTATAAGAGATATGAAACAAGGCTATTATAGAACATCAATAATGGCATGATTTTCTTCCAAACAGAGATCAGATTGTCCAAGCTATTTCTAAAGTTTAGCATCATTAGGTCAAGGGTTTCCAAATCAGAAAAAGACAATCTAATGAACAGCAATATTGCTAATTAATTCTCAGTTGCTGGGCCATGACCTAGGTTGCAGGACCTCAAAATGGTCATCTTATATGTACTGATAGAAAGCAACTTTATAGAAAATATCATTGATCTATCACAAGTAGTTTCTATAAAACTGACTTAAGCAGAAACCTAAACATTGAAAATTGTTCATTAAATCAGAGTCAATGGATCATGACCTAGGAGCCGGGACTGGAAATCATAAGTCTTTAAACTGATATGTACTGATAGTAATGCAACTTTATAGAAAATATTATTGATCTATCACAAGCAGTTTCTATCAAACTAATTTAAGCATTAAACTTAAGAATTGTTAATACACCTTATCGCTATTTGGAAATCTTGACCCAAGAATCTGTCCCTCTTGGACTTTTGAAGTATTACAACAATCAGATATTTTCTATTATGAAGTCAAAATTTTACGGAAACTGCTGTGATGTCCAGTAATAGTGGTAAGGTGTATGCCCTCACTATCACGTTTGCCAGAAAAGCAACACCTATCTCCCCTACTGTGACAGGTGAGACAACAACATAAGTAACACCTATCTCCCCTACTGTGACAGGTGAGACAACAACATAAGTAACACCTATCTCCCCTACTGTGACAGGTGAGACAACAACATAAGCAACACCTATCTCCCCTACTGTGACAGGTGAGACATCTCCCCTACTGTGACAGGTGAGACATCTCCCCTACTGTGACAGGTGAGACAACAACATAAGCAACACCTATCTCCCCTACTGTGACAGGTGAGACAACAACATAAGCAACACCTATCTCCCCTACTGTGACAGGTGAGACAACAACATAAGTAACACCTATCTCCCCTACTGTGACAGGTGAGACAACAACATAAGCAACACCTATCTCCCCTACTGTGACAGGTGAGACAACAACATAAGCAACACCTATCTCCCCTACTGTGACAGGTGAGACAACAACATAAGCAACACCTATCTCCCCTACTGTGACAGGTGAGACAACAACATAAGCAACACCTATCTCCCCTACTGTGACAGGTGAGACATCTCCCCTACTGTGACAGGTGAGACATCTCCCCTACTGTGACAGGTGAGACATCTCCCCTACTGTGACAGGTGAGACATCTCCCCTACTGTGACAGGTGAGACAACAACATAAGTACCATTTTTTGTACATTATGAAAAAGTTCTTCCAAAACACAATTTAAAAATACCTGATATCAAAGAAGGATTTGTAGACAACAGGAAGTGGATTGTTTTCGTCTTGTTTTGATTTAGTCCAGGAACAATTGAGGTCCCTCATATCATTGGAAACACAGCTGATGTTTTGTGGACCAAAAGGTTTATCTAAAACATACAAACATCCTACATATAAATTTTAGTTTGAGTGGGATAAGTGTTCTTAGATAAAGTCAATAGAATTTTTTAATGATGTAGTTAAATGTAGTTTATTTGTGCTTTTTTTCCAAAATATAAATATGAGTTAGCGGGCTTTTTTTTCAAGCTATAGCATGTGAAAAAATGTCAGCTTTCGTATAGATTATACACGGATGTACATGTCTTTCTATGTTGTGATGTTACACTATTGTTTCAGGTAAGAGTGAAGGTTGGTACCTATTAAAACCAGCTGCATTGTTTGAACCTGTCCTAAGTCAGGAACCTGATGTTAAGTGGTTGTCCATAGTTGATGTGGTTCATAGTGTTTCTAGTTTTTTATATAGATGAGACTGTTTGGTTTACACATTTTAATGGTTTTACACTAGTAATTTTGGGGGCTTTTTATAGCTTACTTTTCGGTGTGAGCCAAGGCTCTGTGTTGAAGACCGTACTTTGTTTTTAAAAAATTGTGACTTGGATGGAGAGTTGTCTCATCTGCACTCATCTTCTTACATCAATAAACACTTTTATTTGAAAGAAAGAAGAAAAAAAAAATAAACGATAGAATTTAAAATAGAATATGAGAATGTATTAAAGTTAAGATTATCTGACTTATCTCCCTTTAAATGACTAAGATGAACCAACAAAAATTTGTTTTTACAAAAAAACAATCATACTAATTATATAAAACAGTTTTTTGTCTCATTTAGATGAAAGTATTACAAATAAATTACATTCATCTATCTCAAAATTTGCATATTTCATTAAAGATTTTTTTCCATTTTACAAAACAATGGCAGATGACACCTAATCTTCCTTGAGCATACTCTTTAAACCATTTTCCCTATCCATATCATATTTTACTTACACCCAATTTTAAGATAAAAGTTATCTTCAGTGGTTTGTGAGTTGTTATACTGGCAGAAATATGTTCCTGTGTCCTGCACACTAACGCTAGGACTAACAAGACTTATTGTCCTATTGTCTATTTTAACCGTATCTTTGACAACCTTACAGCTGGCACGCAACCTAGATGTACAATGCTTGATCTTTAAACTATTTATATTAATGTTGCATCCCGAACAGTTAACAGGGGGTCGACATGAACAGTTTACTTGGAATTTCTGTCCAGCCAGAAGGTTTGCATCAGTATGTAGTGAAAATTCTGAAAGTTAAAAAATACCACCTAGAATTGAAAAGTTACATTTTTGTTTTAAGGATTAAAGTTTGTCCCTTTATTACATTGGAGGGAAAAAATATAAAGTTTGCATTCCTAAAATGGTGATACAAAATTCATCTAGAAAAAATATTAGAATGTGCATTTTATATCCCTGGAGGATAAGTTCAATTCATCTGTCCTGAGCGATCTTTTGTTTATTTATACTGTATTCCTGTCACATAAAGTTGTCATTTTTAACATTGCCATATAAGCGGGAGGTTTAGCTAGCCATAAAACAATGTTCAACCCACCATTTTTCTTGAAATGTCCTGCACCAAGTCAGCAATATAGCAGTTGAATATATAGTTCGTTTCTATGTATGTTGGCGTTTGTTTTTGGTAGCAGTTCAGTGTTTCTGTTATTTCGTTGTTTTCCTCTTAAAGTTGATGTGTTTTTCTCGGTTTTCGCTTAATCAATTTATGACTATTAAACAGTGGCTTTATTTATTGTTGTTCAAATCTCATAAATCCATTCTATAGATACAAATCAAAGTTAAAAAATAAACATTGAGGAAAGCCCATGAACTCTAAAAAAACAAGTCATAAGGAGTTTTTACAGATTAGAATGTCTCAACTATGCAAACATCAACAGCAATCTATACCACACTCAAATTAGAATGTTACAATCAGAAATAGGACACAATTGGCAAATATATTCAAATCAGACAACTTTTCTTGTAAAGATTTATCCATATTTGATTACTGCTGCTTAAATCTTTTGGTCTTTTTTTTTTTTTTGCCATGAAGTTGTCAGCTTATTTTTGACTTCCCTTTGGTATCTTTCGCCTTTCTTCTAAATGCTATTTGGTTCTATGTTGGATACTTGTCCCATTGTCAATCATGTCACATTTTTGTTACTTAATCAGGCACTGTGGTACCATTGAGAATAACTTGATACAGGTAAATACCAGAATTACTGAATTTAACTGCATTTGACATCAACTTAAATGAAATTTTAAAACATAAAAAAGTACAATAATAAAGATTATTATACCTCAGTATGTTTTTTCTATATAAAAAAGAATGAAATATTTTGCTTTTTTATTCCACAGACTATTTGCCAGTCAATAGTTTCAAAGACTATTACCCTGTTCAATAGTTTAATAAACATATTTCCTGTGCTGCTTTAAGAAAATAATATCAATGATGTAAAAACGAATAAAGAACAAGAAATAAAAAAAGTTTAAAAAGACAGTGAAGGTAGTTGTTCTTACGTGGTTTGTATTGATTGTCATTATCATATAGAATATCTTCACCAGAATAATTATCATAAAATGACTGCTCTGATGACCACACAGAGCCAACAAGTTCTCTGACAAGTGCTAAACAAAGAAAGATAAATCCTATCTTTATCATCTTGTTTCAGTACAAATCATTACCTGAAATAATAAAAATTTAACTTTGTATTATTTTTTATGTCTTAAGACATCTTCATACATAAGGTATTTAATTATGTATTTAAAAATCCTTTTGACAATTCCACCTCGGTAGATATTTAAAAAGTAAAATCTAAGGAAAAATAAAATGGAAAGTCTCTTATCAAATGGCAAAATCAAAAGCTCAGACACATCAAACAAATGGATAACAACTGTCATATTCCTGACTATGGTGATTGAATCTGGTTTTATAGCTAGCTGAACCTCTCTATTGTATTACAGTCGCATTAAATTCTTGAACCTGGTTTTATAGCCATCATCATACATCATTATGGTTCATCATAGTTTAAAATTGGAAAAAATAAATATCACCTCCCCCCCCCACCCCCTTTTGGAGCAAGTACCCCCAAACTCAATCCCTGAGCCTTCCCTTTGTAGTTTCTGGACAATAACTTGTGTGTAAGTGTATGGATTCTGCATACACTTAACCATAAGTTATTGTCCAGAAACTACAAAAATGCTTGTTTTTGGCCCCTAATTCCTAAACTGTTGGTACCATAACCCCTAAAATCAATCCCAACCTTCCTTTTGTGGTATTGAACCTTCTAGTAAAATTTCATAGAGATCCATTCATTCAATCTAAAATTATTGTCCGGAAACAAAATGTGTCTTCGGACGACGACATCATAGCATTATACGAACCCCAAAAATTTTTGCACAATCACAAACTTTAATATTGGAAATACTGTAAATTCAGAAATTATTGCGTGCATTTATTATTGCGATTTTTAAAGAATGGACTAAAATGCGAGATTTATTATTGCGATTTCAGGAAAATCTGCATACAGATTTTTGTATCAGATATCAGAATGTGATTCTTATTATTGCGATGATCACCAAGTCGCATTATTCGCATTAATAAAATCCTCGCAATAATTTCTGAATTTACAGTAATATGTTGAGGGCCGTACACTGATCTAATGTAGTTCCTTCTATGTCATTTGGTCTGGGGTGTAGAGTTGTCTCATTGGCAATCACACCACCCTTCTTCTTATTTTTTTTTATATATAAGCAAAAATTTTTAAGTCAAAGGACAATGATGAAGGTAGAGCTAAATAATTTACATGGAAATGATCAGATGTGCCAATGCTAATAAAACTGGATACCAAATACCATTGACCTTATCACAAACTAATACAATGTTGAAATTCTTGCCTCCGGCACCTCTTTGAGGTGAGAAAAAATAGAAAAATCTTGATTCCAATATGAAATACATAAAACATATTAGTAATGTCACACTGATAATGTGCACTAGCTGTCATCTAAAATAGTAGTATTAGATGGAGAAAAAATGCCTATAGATTCATTTCAAGAAGGAGTAGAAATATTATATCTGTAAATAATAATATATTTACATTGTTAAATGTAGTGAATTTTTGCATTTTGATAGTGTCTTATAATTCTGAATTAAATTGCTCACATTGTACGTGTTATTGATTTACAGTATAAAATCATACCTTATCCCGTATTTTTGTATAAAAAAGAAAATGCACATCTGGTACAGTAAATTTGGTGCAGTTAATGTTATTACTACCACTGGGTCAATACCTCTGTTGGTGGACTGTTTGTCCCTGAGGGTATCATCAGCCAAATAGCCAATCCTGTGAATACCCCTGTCACTCTATTATAATCATAGTCAATTTAACTATTGTCAGTTTATCGTCTCAATACTGTATGCCATAACCATTTAATGTAAATGTGTTTGTGCTAATAAATATTGTCTATTGTATCATTGGCATTAAAATAGGAATATTGGACTATTGAAAGGAGTATGCCTGGTAAGACCCCTTTTTAGCCGTTTTACAAATTTGCTAAAAATATTAACTGTTAGCTATTTATTGAAAGTAAAATACTTCTATTACACAAATATGGGCTGTTTTTATACGACCGCAAAAAAATTTTTGTGGTCGTATATTGGTATGACGTTGGCGTCGTCGTCGTCCGGCGTCGTTGTCCGAAGACACATTAGTTTTCGCACTCTAACTTTAGTTTAAGTGAATGGATCTCAATGAAATTTTACCATAAGGTTTAATACCACAAAAGGAAGGTGGGGATTGATTTTGGGGGTTATGGTACCAACAGTTAAGGAAAGAGGGGCCAAAAGGGGCCAAAAATAAGCATTTTTGTAACTTCCAGACATAACTTGTGTGTAAGTGTATGGATCTCTCTGACATTGTACCACAAGGTTCCATATCACAAAGGGAATGCTGGGATTGATTTTAGGGGTAATTGCCTCCAAATTTTAGGAATTAGGGGCCAAAAAGGGGCAAAAAACAAGCATTTTTCTAGTTTCATGACAATAACTTGTGTGTAAGTGTATGGATCTCTCTGACATTGTATCACAAGGTTCCATATCACAAAGGGAATGCTGGGATTGATTTTGGGGGTAATTGCCTCCAAATTTTAGGAATTAGGGGCCAAAAAGGGGCAAAAAACAAGCATTTTTCTAGTTTCATGACAATAACTTATGTGTAAGTATATATGGATCTTTATGAAATTGTACTACAAGGTTCCATATCACAAAGGGAAAGCTTGAATTGAGTTTGGGGGTAATTGCCCAAAAAGTTTAGGAATAAGGGGCCAAAAAGGGGCCAAAAATAAGCATTTTTCTAGTTTCCAGACAATAACTTGTGTTCAAGTGTATGGATCTCTCTGAAATTGTACTGCAAGGTACCATACCACAAAGGGAAGGCTGGGATTGAGTTTGGGGTGATGAATCATAAGGGGGTTCAAAAAATTTGGGGGGGGGATTTTTTTCCTTTTTTTTCTTTAAAATTTTCCATTTTAAATTGGTTATTTCTGATTTATATATAAAAGCAAATAATAATGATATGGTTTGAATAGGTAAATTAAAAAATTTTAAGTTCTTAGACCACATTCATTCTGTGTCAGAAACCTATGCTGTGTCAAATATTTAATTACACTCCAAATTCAGTGCTGTATCAAGCTTGAATGTTGTGTCCATACTTGGCCCAACTGTTCAGGGTTCGACCTCTGCGATGGTATCAAGCTGCGCCCCAGCGAGCATTTTATTGACTATACAATGCACATGCATCAGGTACTACCTTCTTAATTCATGCAAAATTACTAAAATCTTCATAATTTTAGCATTTGTGTTAATTTTTAGGCGTTTTTGTTTAAAATGGAAGTGGCCCCATTTGTGTTCAGTCTCAATATTTTAATGCATGTTGTATTTGTTGATAATACATAACATATATAAAGGATGAATCTGAACAGGAATGCTGCCACTAACTCTTTTGACAAATACCATCTGAAAAGTGACGTTTTATGGCACAATATTAGATATATTTTACACATTTAAGCTTGAAATTGAGCATCTTTAATGAGCAAATCAGTTCAAATCTTTCACAGAAACTAATTGAATGGACTGAAGAAGACACCTAATTGTTTACAGAGGCGGATTTAGAGGGTTTTTCAGGGGGCCCGGGCCCCCCCCCTTTTTGGGGAAAAATTTGGTTGATTATATAGGGAATCACTGAAGCATGACTGGAGCGGGCCCCCTCTTAGGCAGTCAGTGGGCCCTCACTTATGAAAATTTCTGGATCCGCCACTGGTTTAAATAAACTGTTATCAAAAAAATATGTCTCGCTTTTTTGTAATTTCGATAATGCAAATGTTGAAATTAACATAGCAACACTTTAACATGTAAGTTTTGCAAATATTCAAAGTCAATAAACCATGACTGAAGGTAAACGGCTAAACAATCTCCTTGGAAATGAGATGTGCCAATGCTAATACAACTGCATACCAAATACCATTGACTTATCATAAGTAGTTCCCTTTAAACAAACCTATTATCACAAACTAAAACATGTAAACTAAGCAAAATTTCAAAGTCAATTAACCATAACTGAGGGGGCCAGGGTCAAATAATCTCCATGGTAATGAGATGTGCCAATGCTAATATAACTGCATACCAAATATCATTGACCTACCACTCGTGATTCCCAATAAACCGACTTAATCACTAACTAATACATGAAAACTAAGCAAAAGTTTCAAAGTCAATAGACCATGACTGAGGCAGCTGGGCCAAATATTCTCTAGGGAAATGAGACATGCCAATGCTTATACAACTGCATACCAATTATCATTAACTTACCACTAGTGGTTCCCCATAAACTGACCTAATCACAAACTAATACATGAAAACTAAGCAAAAATTTCAGTCAATAGACCATGACTGAGGGGGCGGGGTCTAATAATCTCCATGGAAATGAGATATGCCAATGCTTATACAACTGCATACCAATTATCATTAACTTACCACTAGTGATTCCGCATATCACAAACTAATACATGAAAACTAAGAGAAAATTTCAGAGTCAATAGACCATAACTAAGGGGGCAGTGCCAAATAATCTCCATGGTAATGATATGTGCCAATACTAATACAACTGCATACAAAATACCTTTGACTTACCACTACTGGTTCACCATAAACTAGACCTAATCACAAACTAATACATTGTTGACGCGGTTGCCGCCGATGCCGGAAACAGCATACCTGTGTCTCGCTTTTTGACTCCGTCAAGCGAGACAAAAATGTCAAAAATCATTCATCAGATGTACCTGACATTTTAGGCCAAAATTTGCCCTTACCGGACCTTCTCCTTTGCTGTAAGAAAATTTTGAAAATTATCATAAATTAAAACGAATAATGATAATAATAATAATAATAAATTCTTTATCTAAAGAGGGTAAACACAGTTAGTTACAATTACTAATCTTCCCTGAGGCCCTCATATACAATACATGTAAAAAATAATAATAAGAGAAAAAAGCAAACATACAACATATTAACACAATCGTATAGTCATGATAGTTCAATGTACATGTACCATAATTAGAACATATAAAACAGTTACAGATTGCATGTAGTAAATAGATATTATATACAAATCAAAATCATACATTCTAAAAAAAAAAGAGTAATAGTTGCAATCATTTCAAGACTGAATATTGGGACTGCCTCAAGTATCGTTTTAAAATTTGTTTAAAAGAAAAAGTGTTTTGCACTTTATGCATTTCATATGGTAGTCCGTTCCATAAAACTGATCCAGAATAAGCAAAAGATTTTTTAAACAGTTCAGTTTTTGGCTTAGGAACTATTAAATTACCTTGAGTAACACCCCTTAATGCATAAGGATTATTAACAGATATAAGTTGAAACTTTTGAAGTAGGTACTGTGGTGCTTCTTTCTGCATACATTTATATAGCAGTAAATATTTGTGGTATTTGATTCTGTTTTCTACTGTCATCCATCCAAGTTCTTTAAATAAGGGGGCTGATGGGGATAAAGGGTCTGCATCAAGAATTAATCTTGCTGCTCTTTTTTGAAGTTTTAATATTATTGTTATCCCTTCATTTTTACATTCTCCCCAAACGATACAGCAGTAATCAATGAGCGGCAGAATATAACCATTATAATATGCTTTCCTGGCATTAATATCTAAAAATTTCTTTAATTTAGAAAGATAGATATGTTAATATCAATAGATATGGTTCAATTAATTTTTATCAGACCTATAAATTGTCTTTGAAAATTAACAATAAAACAATATAAAGACATATAAAATTATCTTTCAATATCAATTACCTTTTTTTCTTGAAGTAATGAAATGTATAAAGATGATAAACATGCATGACAAACATATATCGTCTCATTACTCCAAGCTTATCCTTTAATTTTCATAAACTAAAGGTCAGAGGTCATTTAAGATTATGTTTGTGCTTTAATATGATTTGATTCTTGAAGAACTATTCAAGGCAGAAAAATTCAAATTCTATGAACCAATGTCAGGTAACTTAACACTTTAAGTCATTCGAGATTTTTATATTCTTGTCTCAAAAAGAAAAAAAGTATCCAATTTAAACCAAAAGTTCACAAAGACCTAAGATGAGGTTTCATTTTCTCTTTTACATATTCTGAAGATAGACCTAAAAAATGAGGAAAATATTTGTAGAATGTGAGGAGATAGATACTTTATATGTTTCCCTGAAATAGTATAGTAAAGAAACTGAAATTCTTCTGAAATACAAGAACCTGTGCACTTAATAATTACATTATAAATTTGATGCTTGGATAAATGTTGGTTAGTATGACATGGATAAAATTACAGGTAACAATGACAACACAAAAAACCAAGTCATTCTGTTTGACAGCTCTATTTATTATTCAACATTTTTTAAATCAATAGCCCGCGCAACAATAATAAATCCATTTCTATGTTGTTTGAATATTCTAAAAAAATAGAAAGAAAATTCCAAATGTGTAAAGAGCAGCTTACTCTATGCTGGGCAACTTTGAATATTCTTCTATGAAGTTGGGTTTCTGTTTCTAGATGTCAACCCCAGAACTATTTTAATTCATTCTCATAATATTCTTCCTGCGTATTATCTATCCCAGGATCATACATGTATAAGATTATTTTAGTTTATTTTGGGTAGGAGTGGGAGTGAGACTTAATTCCGATGACACCCTTAAATAAGATTTCCATCAAGATTAAGTCATAAAAAATCTTGATAACAAGAGTCAGTTTCCTTATTCTATTTACAGGGATAAATACTACTGAAGGCTGCAGTATATATGTATATAATGCAGTTTTTGTCTTCCACCAATTTGTTTTCTCACTGAGGGCGGTAGTGTATTTCAAAATTATCATCTATTATTGTAAAATCTTTAAATTTTGTGCATTTCTTTATTCATTCAAATAATCAGTCAATCCATCCTCAATCCCAAATAATAATAATTGATAATTATGTGCTCCACATACTGTGGATTCAGATAATTTCATGGCTACTAATTTCCCTAGATTGAGGAAAACTTTTGTGGATATTTGATTTTGTTGTTTTGCCAAAGTTTTAATACAAGCCTATAGAAAATTAGTATTTCTTTGAACATTTAAATTCCTGGTTTACCAATACTAACTAATTCTAAGGAAATTGGTATCCCATGAATAATAATGATGAAATGGATGGCTGTTTATCATCCAGTGGCAAATTAAATGCATATACAGAACGAAAACAGGTTACCGTGATATGTATATGAACCCTACTATGTACTAGACTGACATACTGAGATGGATTTTGAAGGTGCTAGTTCACAAGGTGACAGTTTTTAAAAAGACAAGCTACCCAATCGGGACACTTTATTCTGACTGCGCCAAACAGTATAACACCTTAATGAAGCATGCTTAGTAGAGAAGCAGTACATACCAATTTAAAAGTCATTAGTTTGAATCAATCTGGGAACAAACCCACTACCTATCACAATCTCAAGGCAAGCATGCTACCACTAGACCACTTAGGTGATTACAAATAACAATTAATCCACAGTTCTACTACTAGTAATAAATAAATGTAAAACCTATCCCTGGATTACAACAAATTTCTCAAAATTTTAACTCTTTATCATCTACATTTGAACTTGAAATTATTTATTACTTTATACATTTGAAATTCAAAATAAAATGCACCCTGGAGCGCAGCTTGATACGACCCCTGAGGTCGAACCCTGAACAGTTCGGGCAAGTATGTACACTACATTCAAGCTTGGTACAGCTCTAAATTTGAATAGTGATTAAATATTTGACACAGCATAGGTTTTTGACACAGAATGAATGTTGTCAAAGAACTGAAAAATTTGAAATTGGACTTTTACCTATTACTTTTATGGCCCAATAACCAAAATCTAAATACATGGTTAGATTCAGCATATCCAAAAACAACAAGAATTTTATTTATTCATTTATTAATGGACAATATTAGCTAAGTTTTTAAAGGGGTTTTGCTCCATAAAAAAAATATCTATAGCATTCTGAAAATTTATTTATACAGACAGAATAACAAACAAACCTATCATGAAGTTCTTCAAAAAAATATTTACCAAAAAAATGAAACAATTTCCAAAATATCATTCATCATTAATACGATGTTTTTAAAAAATCTATAAAACTTACCTTTCATTAATTTTCAAAATATCTAATTATAATGAAAAGTAAATTCCAAACTATATTTATACATAATTTCTTCTCTAAAATTAGAATTTAATGCTGTATCTTTTTTTAACTATGAATCTACTTACAATTTCTACTAATTGTGCAATACAGCTTTTTTGATAACAGGGCCAAAAATCAAAAATCTAAATACATGTTTAGATTCAGCATACCAAAGAACCCCTAGAATTCAATTTTTGTTAAAATCAAACAAAGTTTAATTTTGGACTCTTTGGACCTCAAATTGATCCACTTTGATAACAGGGCCCAAAATCCAAAATCTTTAACACGGTTAAATTCAGCATATCAAAGAACCCCCAAAAAATTCAATTTTTGATGAAACTGAATAGCCCGTTAGATTCAGCACATCAAAAAACCCAAAGAATTCAAGACTTTGAATTATACCCCATTGAAATTGGTGAAGAAATAAGCAATTTACACAAATATTAGAAAAGTATTGTTTTTGGCCCCTTTTTCCTTAACAGTTAGGGCCATAACACCCCAAAATCAATCCCAACCATGTTATTGACATCTAGCACTTTATACTTTAAGCTATCTTGTTGAACTTTCAGTACGAGAGGTGTGATCTTATGTTCCACTTTATAGTGACTTTCAGTACGAGAGGTGTGATCCTATGTTCCACTTTATAGTTACTTTCAGTACGAGAGGTGTGATCCTATGTTCCACTTTATAGTGACTTTCAGTACGAGAGGTGTGATCCTATGTTCCACTTTATAGTGACTTTCAGTACGAGAGGTGTGATCCTATGTTCCACTTTATAGTGACTATCAGATGGAGAACAGCAACCATAAAGGCATACGCCTGTTTTGTAAAGTGCATGCAAGGATTTTGTGCCATGAATTAACACACAATACACCTTCTTTTCTATTTCAATATTAGCTTGTATGACAATTTATACCAATTTTTTTTAGTATTTCATCCAACACAATTGTTCTCTGGTGCCTTTTCAGGTTCTACATTTTATAAATGAAGAGATATACCTATTTGCTCTGCTATCCAATCCAACATAATCGTTCTGGTGCCTTGTCAGCTTCTACATGCATAAGAAAATATATCTATTTGTTCTGGTATCCAATCCAACACAACTGTCCTGGTGCCTTGTCTGAGCTTCTAGTCATATTTTGAACAAGCACTTGTTCATGTCTGTATATGTCCACTGTAGAACCTAGGGTAAAATAAAAGTAAAACTTTTAACAATCTGTCTAGGCTCTCTCTTTGTGAAGTAAAACATGCATATTATTTATTTGATCAATTAATTTGGGTGATATTTGATTCTGTAAATCTGATTGTTATATCACGCCATGCTAGAATGTTTGAAACTGGACCTATGATTTTTTTAAATTATTCCTTATGATTCCTTCCTTTTTGAAATTCTTTATCAATAAAATATGTAATCTAGGATAACACAGATTGCCTTGTTCCCATAAATATTCATTATAATAATATAATTATTAACAAGAGTGCACACGCTGAAATGTCTCGCCTTCTTTACTAGCCGTTGATATTATGTTGATAGTCCTAAATATAAAGCTTTACTACAACTATCACATAAATTAAACTTAACATGATCCAAAAAAATGAGGTCAAGGTCAGATAAACCTAACTGGAAATACATATACACCTTACAATCATTCCATACACCAAGTATGCTTCAAATATAGTTGACCTATTGCACATCTAAGAAACAATCTTGACCAGGTAAACTTAACATTGATCAATGAACCATGAAAATGAGGCCAAGGTCAGATGAACCCTGCCAGACAGACATGTACACCTTACAATCATTACATGCTTTTAATATAGTTGATCAATTGCATATAGTATCTAAGAAACAAACTTAACCAGGAAAACTTAAGATTGACCAATGAACCATGAAAATGAGGTCACGGTCAGATGATAATTGCCAGACAGACATATACACCTTACAATCATTCCATACACCAAATATAGCTGACCTATTGCTTATAGTATTAGAAAAACAGACCAAAAAACCAAAAAATAACACGAAGCAATGAACCGTAAAAATGACGTCAAGGTCAAGTAAAACATGTCAGACGGACATGTACATCGTAAAATATTTTCATACACCAAATATAGTTGACCTATTGCATACAGTATAAGAAAACCAGACCAAAACACAAAAACTTAACTTTAACCACTGAACCATGAAAATGAGGTCAAGGTTAGATGACACCTGCCAGTTGGACATCTGCACCTTACAATCATTCCATACACCAAATATAATAGACCTAATGCTTATAGTATCTGAGATATGGACTTGACCACGAAAACTTAACCTTGTTCACTGATCCATGAAATGAGGTCGAGGTCAAGTGAAAACTGTCTGACGGGCATGAGGACCTTGCAAGGTACGCACATACCAAATATAGTTATCCTATTACTCATAATAAGAGAGAAATTAAGAATACTAAAAAACCTTTTATTCAAGTAGTCACTGAACCATGAAAATGAGGTCAAGGACAATGGACATATGACAGACGGAAACTTCATAACATAAGGCATCTATATATAAAGCATGAAGGATCCAGGTCAACTACCTTTTGAAATATTAAGCTTTTAAGAAGTGTGTTAACGCCGCCACTGCCGCCGGATCACTATCCCTATGTCGAGCTTTCTGCAACTAGAAGTCGCAGGCTCGACAAAAATGGTTAGGGAAGAAAAAAATTAATTTCAATTAAAAGGACTGAAATATAGGTCATTTTGACTCCTTTTATGGCATTAAATTGAATGCATTCAAATATGTAATTGCATGAGTGTATGCTTATAAGTAATGGATAAATATAGACTCTACCTGTTGCTTTAGATAGTTATCACCTTGAGATTATTTAATTCTTTAAAAATCAAAATGTAAGGTTTATGATATCTATCTTAGGTGGCCACAATTATAATCTATTTATCACATATTTAAGTTCTGCAGAAAAGAGAAAAAAGTTCAATTATAACAATTTAATGAAATATAACAGGTAAAATCTTAAAAATTTTATCACAAAAGTTTTAACACACACATTTTCAAATTTAGTTTTTATCATTTACTCCATAGAAATTTATTGTCTCATTTCCACTTTTTTTGGAGTATGGCAATACACAATTGCGTAATTCTCCGGCACTTTTTAACCACTCCTTTAGAATTTTAATGTCACTTTTAGTTTTTTTCCTTGGGTTAGCGTTTTTCATTTGCTCTACAAAGTCTGCCATATCGCTTTCCTCCACTGCGATGAAACGAGCACCATCATTGTTCGCCATTGTCGTTAAGGACGCAATAACGTCACGTCATTTGGAATCAGGGCACAATAACCAATAACCTCTTTTTTTGCCCCAGCAATTTTGAGGTTATTGCATATGCAAAACCCAACGTATTCGTAACAAATATGTGATAAATCATTATATTTCTACCTTTACTCACTCTTATAACGTGCTGTTTTCAATTTTTACTTTTTACTGCACAGCGTCTTTGTTAGATTATTTTGTATGTTTGATTGAATTTTGTAGTCAGTTGTGTTGTATGTCTATAATGTATGTTTACACAGTTTTTGCTGCTGAATCCCAATTATCGTCACATCAACCTATTATGTCTGTTTGGATTGCTCACACAATTTTGTCAAATAACTGTAACAGAACTATAAAAATGTCACTTTTATAAAATTCCTAGAAAGGATAGATTATATAAACTGTGCCACTTGCTGAAGGATGAAAAACACTTCCTCCTTGAATGTAAAATTAATAAAAAACTACGGCAGCTTATCTGTTTCAGAATTGTTCACCTTCTCATAATTGTATGTCTTTTACCCAAGAACAAAAAGTAACAGAAATGCTAAACCCCTCCATCATGGAACATGTTAAAAATATTGGCTTCTTTATAAAGCAGTCATTAGAACTGAGGGCAGAAGTTTTATACATATTTTCATGTGTTCATTTACTATAGAATTGTTATTTCTTTGCTATATTATGTATTTTTTTTTGGTTTTTTGTCACAAATTAAATATGTTCATATGACAATAAAGATATTATTAATTAATGTAAACAATTGTCATACAAGTGGGAGGTTTAGCTGCTAGCTATAAAACCAGGTTTAACCCACCAGTTTCCTCCGAAAAGGCCTGTACCAAGTCAGGAATATGGCAGTTATAAATTCACTTGTTCTGTTGATTGATAGTGTTTGATTTTGTCAGATTTTATGGACTTCCCCCCTTTTTGAATTTGCCTTGGAGTTTGGTATTTTTGTTATACTTTTTTACCCATCAGACAATTAGTAACCTACAATAATTTAACTTGGTGCAGGGAATGTTACAGCCACTCTGACCTATATTTCACACCTCATTGACTTAAACAAAAATTCAATCTATTCTAAAAGAGGTGACAGACAATTACCACACTTAATAAAATTGAGAATGGAAATGGGGAATGTGTCAAAGAGACAACAATCCGACCACAGGACAGACAACAGCAGAAGGCCACCAACAGGTCTTCAATGCAGCGAGAAATTCCCGCACCCGGAGGCGTCCTTCAGCTGGCCCCTAAACAAATATATATACTAGTTCAGTGATAATGAACGCCATACTAAACTCCAAATTGTACACAAGAAACTAAAATTAAAAATAATACAAGACTAACAAAGGCTAGAGGCTCCTGACTTGGGACAGGCGCAAAAATGCGGCGGGGTTAAACATGTTTATGAGATCTCAACCCTCCCCCTATACCTCTAGCCAATGTAGAAAAGTAAACGCATAACAATACGCACATTAAAATTCAGTTCAAGAGAAGTCCGAGTCTGATGTCAGAAGATGTAACCAAAGAAAATAAACAAAATGACAATAATACATAAATAACAACAGACTACTAGCAGTTAACTGACATGCCAGCTCCAGACTTCAATTAAACTGATTGAAAGATTATGTCTTCATCATATGAATATCAGGCACAATCCTTCCCGTTAGGGGTTTAGTATCATACCATCATAACATATATGTGAAGAACATAACCCGTGTCATGCCAACAACTGGTTTTTAAATAAATGTGTTTAATGCCGAAGCAAAGACCCTATAAGTGAATCAATATTAACGCCAAAATATGCAATCTTTAATGACCTGACAACAGTATCGTAACTATATCCCTTCTTAATAAGTCTATTTAAAGGTTTTGTTAGTTTCAGAGGTGAATACTGACATTTTTGTGCTTTATAAAGAATATTTCCATAAAAAATTGGATGTGAAATACCTGAACGTATAAGAAGTCTGCATGTTGAGCTATATTTACGAATGATGTCCTTATACCGATGATAAAATTTAGTAAATGTTTTGACTAGTTTGTGATATCGAAAACCCTGGTGTAATAATTTTTCAGTAATACATAAATTTCTCTCGTTAAAATCTAAAACATTGTTACATACACGAGCGAATCGTACAAGTTGAGATATATAAACACCGTAAGATGGTGACAAGGGAACGTCACCATCTAAAAATGGATAATTAACGATAGGAAATGAAAAATCATCTCTTTTATCATATATTTTAGTATTAAGCTTTCCGTTAATGATATAGATATCAAGATCGAGGAAAGGGCAGTGGTCATTGTTAGTATTAGCTTTATTTAAAGTAAGTTCAACAGGATAAATTTCTTTAGTATACATACTGAAGTCGTCATTATTGAGAGCCAAAATATCATCCAAATATCTAAAAGTATTATTAAATTTGTGTATCAGTTGTTGTTTCGATGGGTCTTTACTGATTTTTGTCATAAATTGTAACTCATAGCAATACAAAAAAAGGTCCGCAATAAGTGGTGCACAGTTAGTCCCCATTGGATTCTTGTAGGGAATATCTTCTACCAAAAGTAGGTCACTTAGAACTTTTTCCTTTACTCATTGACAGATATTAAGTTTAAATACATTTAAGGTTTATTTTTCAGAAAACATGCGAGTTTACTATTCTTTCAAATAAAACTAAACCTGAGCAAATGATGTTAGAAATTTAAGGAAGAATGTCCTCCAGTCTGTAAACTAAATGGACAAACAATCAGAAAGACATGGATATGATTGATACTATCTCAATTCTGCTGATAATATTTATTTGGTCATAATGAAAACATGTTTACCAAATATAACCCAAACTTATTTACTCAATTTATTATAAGGCATGTTAAATATAA